GTTTAATTTATTTTTAGGTTAGCTTTAGTTTGAGTTTATCTTTATTTTTTATTTATTTCCAGTTTTCTAATATTTATGTTGTATTTTAGCTTTATTTCAATTAATAATTTTGTTTTAAAGTTTAAAATAATTTTAGTTAATGATAATAACCCTGGTAGCATATAATAAAAGTATATTTTAAACATGTAACTATCCCTAGTAAATTTAAAGGGTTCATATCATGAGAAATAAAAAAAATTCAAGTTAATTTCAAGTTTCAAAACTCATCACTTGCTTTCATTTCAAAAATACCATTTATTGAGACTGAGTTTCATTTACACTTCAGCAGCAGCTATTCTTGTTTAGCAACATGACCTAACTCAAAGAAGAGATGCGTGACGCAGGATTACGATAATCAATACAAATAAACTTTAATAAACACAACCACCATAAACGTAAATGCAAGACAAGGAACAGAAGAAACATTGGGCTTATTCTGTATACACAAAGAAAGATCATCAACCGAACATGAATGAACTAGATGTCAGGCGAATGGTGACAATGAAAACAAAACGAAACTGAATAAGACATGGACATGACAGTAATAAGGAGGAAGTTAGATAAATGTTATCATTCCTGAATAACGATAACAATAGAATGTGGTTTGTCAAACTTTGTGCTGTTTTTTTTGTGAAGCACCTGCTAAACTGCATATCCTTCTGAAGAATGCTAATGTTATGAACATGCATCTGTTTTATAATTTGATTTTTTTTTAAAGATCCCTGATGTGGAAGGATGGATCAGATAAAAACTATATTAGACTTGCCGGCAAACCTCCATCCAAGGCAAGGGAGTTAATTTCTCATGCGATATTTTTAAATAATTATTCGAAATAATTTGATGAAAAAAACTAAACGAAAATGAGAAATGTTGCCTTGGCACTAACTGATTTTTTTTTAAAAAATAGAAATATTTCTTTTTTTTAAACTAATAAAAAATGACAATATTACTAATTAAAAAACATATTACTAATTAAAAAACAATTTTATTAATTATAAAATCATTTATATTAAATAGTTAATATAAATTTGAACATTAATAGTAACACTAAAATAACATTGCAAAGGTAAAAACAATTTATTTTATATTATTATTTTTCTACATTATTATTAATAATGTACAAAATTGTATTACATTATTATTATTATTAATTTGTCTCTCTGCCCCCTATATTTACATTTTCTTTGGTTTATTTGTGTCATCCAGGGGTATCGTCTGGAGCTGGTTTGTTACCTCGCTCCTCTCTGGCCCTTCCTGCTTCCCTGCCCAGAAAGGGCAGTATTAAGGCTGTAAGTAGCCGGTTGCCTTCAAAACAGGTTCCAGCCACCTCGCTGCGTTTACCCAAAGACTGTGCACGCTCACTTGGAGACCTCAAGGTTAGACCCCGAAATATGCTGATCCCCTACAGCCATATCACCCTGTAGCATGGTTGCCCACTGAAGCTACAGTAAGCAGGGTTGAGCCTGGTCAGTATCAGGATAGGAATCGTTCTGGGAAAGCCAGGTTGCTGCTGGAAGAGGTGTTAGTGAGGCCAGCAGGGGGTTCTGCTCACCCTGTGGTCTGTGTGGTTTCTAATGCCCCAATATAGTGATGGGGACACGTCGGATGAGACGTTAAACCGAGGTCCCAACTCTCTGTGGTCATTAAAAATCCCATTGCACTTCTCGAAAGTGCGTGTGGTAGTGTGTGTGGCCCAAATCCCCCCATTGGCATTTATCAATCATGGCCTCCTAATAATCCCCATCATTTGAATTGGCTCAATCACTCTCTTTCCTCTCCACCTATAGCTGGTGTGAACACACTGGCGCCGCTGTTCTGTGGCTGCCGTCGCATCATTCAGGTGGATGATGCACACTGGTGGTGGTTGAGGGAGATATGATTTTAAAGCACTTTCAGTAGTACATAGTAAAGCGCTAAATAAATCATTCCTCATATTTCTGTAATGTTAAATGTATAAATATGAAGACAAACATTTTCAATTCAATTCAAATTTGGATTGTGTAAATAATTCACATGTCCACACGAGTACATTGTATGACATATTGCACTGTTCACATTTATCATTTTCATTTTTTACCTTTCCTTTCAGGTCACCAGAAATTTAGTTCAACGTTTCCTGCAAAGATCCAAACGTAACTTGGCCCCTGCAACTGAGCATGCTGGAAACTGTACTCAGGGGCCTAAAAGAAGGACAGGAGGAGATGGAAATCTGCCGTTAGAGCAGGTAAAACATAGCCAATACCATAAATAAAATCATTTAGTTCAGATGGAATTTTGTATGGTACAATTTAGTACTAAAATAACCCATTGCATGTTTGTGTTGCTATGAAGGTGCTTCGTAACTCTCTAGGAGCCAACAGGGGGCAGCAGCAGCACGTCCACCACCATTGCCGTGGACACCACCACTCCCATAGCGACAGTCGCCATAACGCCCGTCGGCACGATGATGACCCTGTAAGGGCCGGGGGAATCCACCTGCGTAGCTGCGGAGACCTCAACTCAACATCAGTCGCATCACTGCGCAGGCTCCACCCACCGCCGCACGGATCATCAGGGGCTCTTTACTCTGAATCTGCCCTCTGAAATGGGCCACGGATTCTGGAATAAATCACTGCATGAATAGGGAGAGGGGAAATTTGAGGAAAGAATAACAGGTGGGAAATAGGTTTGAGATGAGGAATTTATCTTGCAGACGGGGTTATGCGAAGCTACCCTTGATGAAGTTTTTAGCTGTTCTCACCATAATAAAAGACTGAACACTACACCCAATATTTGTGAGTTTAACCCTTCATACCCACTGCTCTCTGTGCCTGACAAACTCTCTTCCATTTTGTTTTTTCTTTTCTTTTTCGTTCCATCTAGTGCTTCTTTTTCTTGCTCACTGTGTTTACATGGATATGGAAAGAATGCAGCACCTCTGACACCTCTTCTTATCCTCACAGCTCATAACAATGCACTCATGCAAATACAAACATACATGGCCGTAACCTTGTCTCAAACAAATATTTAAAAACAGCTAATTGTTTCTGTTCTAATCACATTCAGTTATGAATTACATGAATCATGCACATAATACAGCCTATTATTTCAATTTGAAATGGCGAAATTTGACAAAAAAAGAGTAGTTTGCATCATTGGATATTTCTGTCATAAAATAGTTGTCAGATATAAAATGTTCAGCTACTTATATCTAACCTGTGCTGGAATTCACATTGTGAATCTGTGAACACCACACACTCAAATGTTGTAACCAGCCACAAAATGCTTTTAACGTATTGACCATCTTGGTTAGCGTAGCTAAATATATCCAAACATCATCTTGCATATATAAAATTGTTCTTTTTATCTTATACTGTCACAACAGCTGAGGTTGATGCAGCAATTATGTATTAGGATTCATTGGCTTTTTTTCTTTCTTTTTTTTTTAAGTGCATGTTTTTTTAAAACAACTAAGATCATTCATTTGAAGCTTTGTTTTTTTTGCGTCTGTCTGTCTCTCATGGTGGAGTCTTGCTTCCCAGTCTGTATAATAGTTTCATACAGAATGCCTCTGCATGTAATGAGAAGGCTTGTTTTCTCTTTTTGACTTAACACCAAAGCTAGAATGCAAAGAATGTGTGAGGGAATTTAGGATTTTATAATATAAATGATTATCTGGCAATAAACATACTTGTACAGTTATGTCAAACTTGAAGTTTTAAAGAAAGTTGGGACCTTATTTTGAAAGATACCTATGAAAACTGAACTGGAAGTGAGACAATGAACACTGTCAAACTGATATGTTCAAGGCTTTTTCATTCTAGACCCTTTGGGAATAACACATTGGAAAGACAGCCATGGACTTCTGGTGTATCTACTTTGTTATCTTCGGAAATGGATGTACATCTAAAGGAATAATTGCAGTTGTCAATTGTTTAGAAGTGCTTTGGAATGCTAATGGCTTTAAATCGGTAGCGATGTTGCTTAATAATGCATTAATACAATTGTTATATATGTAAATAACTTTGATGCACGGAACCTTATATGCTCACACACATTCTGCAACTTTTTCAAGCGCTGAAACCAAGTCTGAAAAAGAGCTTGATATTCTACCTCTTTTATTGCATACACTGACATGTTATGGCCCAGTGGAATATTTTAATTTAAGGATTTTATGGGCTATTTATAAAAAACAAAACAAAAAAAACTCTACACTTACTGACGAAAAACTGTTGTTCTGTAAATATGATGCCTAAAAAGAACATTTAAAAACAGCTCTATTTAATGAACTTTTAATGCAAGTTATGTAATATATAAAAAAAGAACACATAAATAAATGTATACACATCTGGAAAGTTTTAAAATCATTTATCAATTTCACTGTCATTTCTTCATGCGTTGTGTCTACTTTTTTAACACTGAAAAATATACATTTAGATTTAGTTTGAAAGGTAAAAGTCTCTGGTGAGAGGCGGTGTCTGTTTCGTGAATGACCTGAGTCATATCTTTTTAATGAATCGGTTGAACTGGTTCACAAAACTGGGCAGAACCAGGTTTCGAAACTTTTTTGTTCGCATTTTATCATAGACTGTATTTTATTTAAATAGCCTTTAATACGTAAAATATACTGAAAGTATGGCCATATTTTTCAAGTTAATATTTCACTAACTTAATTTATGCATGTTTACAGTTCTCTGATGTCGGTTAAAGGTCACATACATTTGCTTTAATAATCGCGATTTTTAGTCTTATTTCAATTAATCGTGCAGCCCCATTAATTTATTTTAATGTTACATTCCCGAACTCCTGTTTAGGAAACCCTGTGCTGAACGATACGTCATGACGTTAAGAATCGCTGTTCTTGGAAACAAACTGTTTGAAAGAACCGATTCTTAGACATGAATAGAACCTTCCATCACTTGCGCTGTAGGACTTTTATTTTGAAACTGAAGTTGATTACGTCGCACATGAAGATGTAATTGTGGCGCGCCACTTCATACTGTTCAGTTTTACAGCTACAGTATATTTTTCATAGAAGTATTCATTCTCTAGAAAGCGACAAGTATTGAAATGTGGAAACTGCAAACATCCGAAGCTGGAGGTAACGTTTTATGTGCAAAATGACTCGGTTTTTCGGTCTTTTAGTGTACTACGGCAGTAAGTTACTTAAAATCCAGACCAACTGCAGACCATCCAAGCAATAAAAATGGTAATGTAATAAGTTCCGGTTTACATAACAAGTCTTCCTATTTATGGGACGACTTCTAAAGACTTGTATACAGTCACGGATAGACATAGAGAGGCAGAGTACATAATTATTGTGTAAAAGGCTATGTTATTAATGTCAAGACTTTTATTATGTTAACATCAAATTAACTAATCTAATTCTACAAGGTAAGGGTATTTTACTCATTGGATGTCCCATTAAAACAAACTGCAAAAAGTTTTTTTTTTGTAAAGTAAGTGGGAGTATTTGTTTTATTCCTGTTTGTTTTATTTAGTTGTAGACTAGAATGTAGAGTTAAAATTGATCATTTTCTCAATAAGAAGTAGGAATAATTGATTTTATAATGTGAATCAATCAGTTACTTATTCAAAACGTGGCTCTGGGTTTCACAATTGTCACAAATGTCACCATTTACATTTTTTATGGTTATGATTTATATTAGACAGAGCAATCTTAATAATGGCCTACATCAATAACAGACCCCTGAATTATTTTATGTACCAGATATGTGTACCAGACATCATCTTTCTGACTGCCATGAAAACATGTTGACATGAAATAAAGACAGTCTGCACTTTAACTAATGGACAACTATAGTTCAACAACACTTTTAGACCCTTCAAAAGTAAATGGTGGTTACAAATGTGATTAAATTTTATTATTATTGTTTACAGACAAAGATTTTGTCATTTAACAAGAGAAATTCCCCATGTTTCCAGTAATTATTATCTGGATAGCTTGGGATGCCTTAATTCACTTCTTTCCTTTCTGTTTCTAGGGGAATGTGTCGTTCTGTTCCCGGGTCAGGAGTATGTGGTCGGCCGTAAGAATTGTGAGATTCTGTTGTCCAATGATCAGTCCATCAGCCGAGTGCATGCCAACCTCACTGTCACTGAGCAGGTCAGTAACTCTGTGCTGTATAATGTTGAATAAAAAAAACAAAGAGCTTCTTCAATGAAGAGATGTTTAAGCCCACTAATACTATGAATGCTTCTGTACATCCTCCCACTGTCATTCTTATACACCAAACCACCACAGTGAAAGGTGTACTCAGATTGGAGAATATGAATAGCACTGCCTTTGACTTATATTGTCAAAAACATTATTTGCACTTTTCTTCAAACATGCAAAAGTCATCTTGGCTTTGTTTTTCCTTGGCTTTCTTAGTCTGTCCATACATATCTTAGGTTGCTTAATGAGATTGTCTCAAAGGCAACATTGTGGAAAGTATTTCACAAAGTAATATAATTTTAATTTACTACTTATTGTTTTGTTTTTTTGTTATTTTGCTAATTACTCAGCAGAAGAGTAATCATGTGCGTCATTATTTCCCCTAGTCATTCTTGTTGTGGAGTCCTTATTTAAATTCAGGATGCAATAAATTATATTAGTATATTACTAATAGCTTGTTGGAAAGTTTTAGGGGAAGAAAATGAAATGTACTGACTGTGAAAACAACTAAGAATATAGATTTTTATTGCTAAATGCATTTAGAAATAAAATTTATATGTTAAAAAGTACAGTAATTTGATATAGGTATTTTAAAAGAGTCAGAAATTAAAAAAAGATACATTTTTTTCACATGTCCATTTTAATTAATGTACTGCTTTGATAGATCACTTGTCATCTTTTAAACTATGGTATATGATAGTACCGCGGTATTGATTTACAATACCAAACCGTGTTGAAAATATAAGCAAACTTTAGTGCTGTCCTCTTAATAATCAGTTGAATACCTTTTTTTTAAACAAAAATGGGAGCGTATGTGATTGTGATTCGAAGAATAGGATTTGTGCATCTGCAATGCAGAATTTAAGAAGGTGTTGTGTTTGTTGGAGAAGAAAAAAATCCAACAAAACTCCTAAAAGATTTTTCTCTGTGACTTTAAATGTATTGATAAATATGTGTGGCTATTCTCTACAACTTCAAATTCCAATGTCACAGTTTTGCTTCAAAAATACCTTCATAAGCCAGCTCCGGATTTGATAGTTAAAGGTGGGGTTTGTGATTTTCTTTTTTGACCATTTTTTCAAAATCACTTGAAATCCTATTCCTAACCCACTTAGAGCCACTGAGTTAGAAGCAATGAAATTAAAATTAAGCAATTTAATCATCTGTGGAACGGGCAGGACTAAAAAAACTCCAGCCAATCATTTCCAAGACCACCTAGAATCATTGGACAGAAAATGCGTCAATCAAACGGTCGTACCATACCCCCCCCCCCACCCCCCTCCCCCCCTCTCGCGCATCTGAGTTTTGCAGATGCATGATTGCGCGTTCATGTTCTTCGAATGGGTGGAGTCAGGGCCAGCGTTGGAGGAAGGAAGGTTGGACCTTTTGAGTTGTGTATTTTCAAAATCTGCCGGCCGTTTTGCAAATCCCATACCCTCATGTTTAACTTGAGATGGCGTTGCATTCTGTAAATGCGTGCTTGCAGGTTTCATGCCCTAGAGGGCCCCGTTTCCCTTACAGCTGTATTTTAGATGGATTAGTTGACAGTAGTTTGTGGTAAATCTTGAGTCTGACAGGGTGCTTTCTTGTTTTTATACTGTTGGCAGGCAGTCACTCTGAAGGACAGCTCTAAATACGGCACTTTCATCAATGGTGAGAAGCTTGAGACTGGCTCCACAAAAACCCTGCAGACAGGAGACAAAATCACATTTGGTGTCTTCCAGAGCAAGTTCAGGTTTGTATGTGACTATGTATTCCTTTGTGTATGTAAGGATGCTTTACAAATGGCTGATAGTGGTAAAGGAATTGTTGAGCCAAAAATAAAAAAAAATGACCCATATGTTGTTCCAAAAGCCTATGGTGTTCCGTCTGTGCACTAAAATTGGAGAATCTCTGAATGCACTACAAATGGAGAACCAATTGAGGACTGGACACTTTCCCCCCCTTGTTGCTACAATGAATGATTATTGAAGCTTTCGAGCTTCAAAAAGAATTGTTAGATGTCTCTATATTTGGCCGAGCAGTCGTTTGGGTGGCTCGCCAATGTATTCGAATTATCTAATACATAAAATAAGTAAGCTTGACCAGAGTTATTGTAGGGAAAAGAACTGATTAAAGGTGTAGTGTAGCAGTTCTTCAGCAGAGATGTTATCATGTTGCCTTCAAATAATCTTAAACCCATGGTACTGTCTTTGAGACCAGACCTTTATACTTGGTAACAAATGTTCCACAAACAATCAATAACATCCTATGGAGAGCCAATGATACTGTAACCTGATGACCTAAGGGGCTAATTATGGGCCATTTGGGTCACACTTTTGTAAACAAAAATACAGTTGATTGCATTTGAGGCATGTAAATGCATCTGACTAAAAATAACTGAAGTACACAATCTTTCAGTATTATAGAAGTAGTCTATAAGACTTGTGCACAGTTTTTTGGTGGTCATATGGTTTGTGTGAAGAAGAGAATGTAAATTTGCTGAAGTTGAATTTGAGAACCACTTCAGTCCAATTTGTGAACGAATCAATTAGACCAGTTTTGTGATTCTGATCAAACAGTTCTTGAAAAGATCCAATTAAAAAAAAATTATTTGTTCACAAATGTGACATTGTTGCTTACTTTATTTGCTTTAGGCTATTCTCTCATTATGTTTAATGCTTGTTTATGTATTTAGTTTTGTATCGTTTTATGAGGCCAATAATAAGCACCGTTTCCCCACTCAGTTTGGAGAAAGAGTGTATTGTGGTGTGTTCATCGTGTCTCGATAACGAAGGGAAAGCCTCCCTCTCTCAAGATGTGCATTCTATCGGAGGGCGACTTGTCAACTCCTGGACACTTGAATGCACGCATCTCGTCATGCCCACTGTAAAGGTTACCATTAAGGTAAGAAAGCCATTGACCTCTTAAAGGGATAGTTCACCGAAAAATTTAAAAATGATGCCATCATTTACTCAGCCTCAGGTTGTTCCAAACCTGTATACATTTCTTTGGTCTGTTGAACACAAAAGAAGATATTTTGAAGAATGTGGGAAACTGAACAGTTCTGGGGCACCATTGACTTTTTTTCCTACTATGGAAGTCAATGGTGCCCTGGTTACAGTTACCTGGTTAACTTTCTTAAATAAAAACTTCTTCCCTTGTGTTCAGCAAAACAAAGAAATTTATTCAGAATTGTAACACCTGAAATGATTTCAGAATTTTCATTTTGGGGTGAAGTATACCTTTAAGCACTTCATTTGATCCCTGAGGGCTTATTCAGTTCCCTGGTAAACTTAAACATTCACTGAATCAATGTCTCTTTTGGCAGACGATCTGTGCGTTGCTGTGCTGTCGGTCTATAGTAAAGCCTGAATTCTTCAGCGCGTTTATCAAGGCTGTGCAGCAGAAACTGCCACTGCCTAAAGCTGAGAGGTACAGAATGTTTCTTTTCTCTCTCGCTCACAGTTGCTTGTTCTTTTTCATTTAAATAGCTGTGACGCAATATTTTGAATAGACATTATAGATCAGATGTTGCTGTGTTTTGTGTTGATCAGATTTAGGCCTCCGATTGATGAGCCCAGCCTGGCTAAAGAGGACGTGGATCTGAGTGCACGACCTGAGAGAAAGAGCCTCTTCAAGGGGAAAACCTTTCTGTTTTTGAACTCTAAACAGGTAAGAGGGATTGTTTAACTACTACTAATATTATAAATTATACCATCACTGTAACTGTTAACATTATATTATTATGACTTTTATACACTAGTATTCAAAGGGTTGTTTTGGAGGGAGAGAAATGAAAACTTTTATTCAGCAAGGATGCAAAGAAATGAGATTTCCATTTCAAATAAATGCTGTTCTTTTGAACCTTCTATTTAAAGAATCCTGAAAAACCCTGATCACAAAATAAGCATATTAAAATGATTTCTGAAGGATCATGTGACATTGATGACTGGAGATTAAATGTGAATAAGAGACTTTAATATAAAAAAGAAAGAAAAAAATCTTACCAACCCTTTAAATTTGAACAGTAGTGTATTTATGAATTATAAAACCTAGTCATAGGTAGTACAATACATAAACACACCACATATAATACAATGAATACGGGAATATAAAAAAGTCATACTATAATGTTATAATGTTAATTTCCACCGTTTTCACATATTCACATTTTTGAAGTTTACACGGAGATGATAACAGTATTGCTTTCAAAATAGTTTTCAAAAACTTGCACTTTGAAACCTACTTCAAAGTTTGCGATCTCAGGCCACCAAAACGCTGTTGTCGTGTAAATGAATGGTCAGTTTTATATATTTTATATACATTAAAAGCAGGATATACAGTGGAGAGAACAAGTATTTGATACACTGCCGATTTTGCAGGTTTTCCCACTTACAAAGCATGTAGAAGTCTGTAATTTTTATCAACTGTGAGTGACAGAATTTAAAACAAAAATCCAGAAAATTACATTGTATGATTTTTAAGTCATTCATTTGCATTTTATTGCATGATAAAAGTATTTGATCACCTACCAACCAGTAAGAATTTCGGCTCTCACAGACCTGTTAGTTTCTCTTTAAGAAGCCCTCCTGTTCTCCACTCATTACCTGTATTAACTGCACCTGTTTGAACCCGTTACCTGTATAAAAGACACCTGTCCACACACTCAATCAAACAGACCCCAACCTCTCCACAATGGCCAAGACCAGAGAGCTGTGTAAGGACATCAGGGATAAAATTGTAGACCTGCACAAGGCTGGGATGGGCTACAGGACAATAGGCAATAGGGCTGCACGATTAATCTCAATTTCCATGTAATCGCACTTTAAACTGATTTGGCTTATCACGATTTTGAAATCGCAAAGGCTGCGATTGTTTTTTTTATGCGCAGATTGTCATTGATGTACGGCTCTTAAACGCGGCTCCATCTGAAAGCACTGTGAGTTTGAGTCACGTATAGTGTGCATTTGAAAAAGCAACACACGTCAAACATCTTTTTAAACATGAGAATCATTTATGAACCTCCTGTCCAACAAAAGACAACATTTAATAACATGCTTTACTCCAAACTTACTTCATAATGACAGTTGAGCATCCTTCTGTTAGATGATGTGGCTTCTTACACAGAATAAGGCAGCCGTGTATTTATAAGTCATGTTTAATCAACAATCAAAGTGTTTAAATCTTCTGTTTATTCAGCTACAGCGATGATGCCCGATAGGGATTTCCTGGAATGATGTGTGTTATTGTACTTCTGCAGCGGGGCATATTTGGCGTGTCTGCGTGAGAGCGCCCTCTGGCGTTCAGATGAAGCAGCATTTACTACCGATCAGCCACATTGGACTGACAAGCTGTGCATAAAAAAAATCACAAATCGCGTTGCGGTTTCGTTGCAATTAATCATGCAGCACTAATAGGCAAGCAGCTTGGTGAGAAGGCAACAACAGTTGGCGCAATCATTAGAAAATGGAAGAAGTTCAAGATGACGGTCAATCTCCCTCAGTCCTGGGGCTCCATGCAAGATCTCACCTCGTGGGGCATCAATGATCATGAGGAAGGTGAGGGATCAGCCCAGAACTACACGGCAGGACCTGGTCAATGACCTGAAGAGAGCTAGGACCACAGTCTCAAAGAAAACCATTAGTAACACACTACGCCGTCAAGGATTAAAATCCTGCAGCGCGAGCAAGATCCCCCTGCTCAAGCCAGCGCATGTCCAGGCCCGTCTGAAGTTTGCCAATGACCATCTGGATGATCCAGAGGAGGAATGGGAGAAGGTCATGTGGTCTGATGAGACAAAAATAGAGCTTTTTGGTCTAAACTCCACTCGCCGTGTTTGGAGGAAGAAGGATGAGTACAACCCCAAGAACACCATCCCAACCGTGAAGCATGGAGATGGAAACATCATTCTTTGGGGATGCTTTTCTGCAAAGGGGACAGGACGACTGCACCGTATTGAGGGGTAGAGTGGATGGGGCCATGTATCGCGAGATCTTGGCCAACAACCTCCTTCCCTCAGTAAGAGCATTGAAGATGGGTCGTGTCTGAGTCTTCCAGCATGACAACGACCCGAAACACAGTCAGGGCAACTAAGGTGTGGCTCCGTAAGAAGCATCTCAAGGTCCTGGAGTGGCCTAGCCAGTCTCCAGACTTGAACCCAATAGAAAATCTTTGGAGGGAGCTTAAAGTCCGTATTGCCCAGCGACAGCCCCGAAACCTGAGGGATCTGGAGAAGGTCTGTATGGAGGAGTGGGTCAAAATCCCTGCTGCAGTGTGTGCAAACCTGGTCAAGAACTACAGGAAACGTATGATCTCTGTAATTGCAAACAAAGGTTTCTGTACCAAATATTAAGGTCTGCTTTTCTGATGTATCAAATACTTAGTTGATACATCAGAATTTGATACATCAGATACATCATTAATTTGCAATAAAATGCAAACTAATTACTTAAAAGTCATACAATGTGATTTTCTGGATTTTTGTTTTAGATTCCATCACTCACAGTTGAAGAGTACCTATGATAAAAATTACAGACTTCTACATGCCTTGTAAGTGGGAAAACCGGCAAAATCGGCAGTGTATTAAATACTTGTTCTCCCCACTGTATATATACAGAAGGGGAAATAATCATTTGATCCCCTGCTGATTTTGTAAGTTCGCCCACTTACAAAGAAATGAAGGGTCTAAAATTTTTATGGTAGGTTTATTTTAACGGATAGAGAAAGAATATCAACCAAAGAATCCAGAAAAAAACACATTATATAAAGGTTATAAATTGATTTGCATTTCACTGAGTGAAATAAGTATTTGATCCCCAAGCAAAACATGCCTTCATACTTGTGAAACCTTTGTTGGCAAGCACAGAGGTAAGACTTTTTTTGTAGTTGGTCACCAGGTTTGCACACATCTCAGGGGGGATTTTGGTCCACTCCTCTTTACAGATACTCTCTAAATCCTTAAGGTTTCTTGGCTGTCGCTTGGCAACTTAACGTTTCGGCTCCCTCCACAGATTTTCAGTAGGAGTAAGGTCAGGAGACTGGCTAGGCCACTCCAAGACCTTAAAGGAGAACTCCGGCGCAAAATGAACCTTTGGTCTAATTACACATTGTTACCTAGTCAACCGTTATCTGAGATTTGTTTTCATGAATATCGAATGTAAATAGTTTTATCTCTAAAAACAGTTTAGCCTATAAAGCTAGTATAATGCTAGTATATTGGGCATCGAGTAATGACAAATAAAAATCGCTTGTTAATACCACTAACAAGGCTGAAAATAGCCCCACACTAACACGGTAGCATAATGAGGGTCCCTACCTTCAAACCGAATCATTGAGAACTTTGTCAGTGTCCAGACAGTTTAATAAGAAGATATTTAATACATACAGTCAACTTCGCGTATACAGACAGAAGCCATCTTTGAAAAAGAGTCTCTACCAGTTGATCTACGAACGCCGATCCAAGTGCGCTGGTGAGATGTGAACGAGCTATAAGTTGTGATAAGGTGAGCGCGAACAGCAGGCTTGGATCGGCGTTCGTAGATCGACGGGTAGAGACTGCTTTTCAAAGATGGCTTCTGCCTGTATACGCGAAGTTGACTGTATGTATTAAATATCTTCTTATTAAACTGTCTGGACACTGACAAAGTTCTCAATGCTTCGGTTTGAAGGTAGGGACCCTCATTATGCTACCGTGCTAGTGTGGGGCTATTTTGAGCCTTGTTAGTGGTATTAACAAGCGATTTTTATTTGTCATTACTCGATGCCCAATATACTAGCATTATACTAGCTTTATAGGCTAAACTGTTTTTAGAGATAAAACTATTTACATTCGATATTCATGAAAACAAATCTCAGATAACGGTTGACTAGGTAACAATGTGTAATTAGACCAAAGGTTCATTTTGCGCCGGAGTTCTCCTTTAATATGCTTCTTATTGAGCCACTCCTTTGTTTCTGTGGAGGTATGTTTTGGATCTTTGTCATGCTGGAAGACCCATCCACGACCCATCTTCAGTGTTCTGGCTGAAGGAAGGAAGTTCTCATCCAAGATTTGACAGTACATGGCCCCGTCCATCAGCCCCTCAATACAGTGAAGTCGTCCTGTACCCTGAAACAGCCCAAAAGAATAATGTTTCCACCTCTGTGCTTGACTGTAGGGATGGTGTTCTTGGGGTCATAGTCAACATTTCTCTCCCTCCAAACACGGCGAGTTGATGCCAAAGAGTTCGATTTTGGTCTCATCTGACCACAGCACTTCCTCCCAAGGCTTCTCTGAATCATTAAATGTTTTTTTGCAAACTTCAGATGGGCCTGTACATTCTTGAGCAGGGGGACCTTGCGGGCGCTGCAGGATTTCAATCCATTGTGGCGTAGTGTGTTACCAATAGTTTGCTTGGTGACTGTGGTCCCAACTGCTTTGAGATCATTATCAAGCTCCTCCCGTGTAGTTCTGGGCTGATCTCTCACCTTTCTCATGAGGCGAGATCTTGCATGGAGCTACAGACCGAGGGCGATTGATTTTTCATTTTGTATTTCTTCCGTTTCTGAATAATCACACTAACAAGTCTCCTTCTCTCTAAGCTCTTCTTGCTGATGGTCTTGTAGCCCATTCCAGCCTTGTGCAGGTCTACAATCTGGTATGTTTGACAGCTCTTTGGTCTTGCCCATGGTGGTGGAGAGGTTGGAATGGAAAATACAGATTCTGTGGACAGGTGTCCACTGACATTAGGACATTAGGACATTAGGAGTACTTTCTTAAAGTGACAGGACTAATCTGTGTTCCACATGGGAACATAACCAATCTGTGGGAGGCAGAATTCTTGCTGGTTGGTAGGGGATCAAATACTTATTTCACTCGATCAAATGCTAATCAATTTACAACCTTTATATAATGTGTTTTTCTGGATTTTTTGGTTGATATTCTATCTCTATCCGTTAAAATAAACCTACCATAAAGATTATAGACCCTTCATTTCTTTGAATGTGGGCAAACTTACAACATCAGCAGGGGATGAAAAAAGTATGTGCCCCACTGTATTCTGGTTTGGCTGCTGGCATCGCACTGGGATGTGGCCTATTTCACTAAATATGAGGCCAAAGGATTGTGATATTGTCTCACTTTCATGTTTCCTATCAGTTCACGTGGCCAGTTACTACATAAGAAAAATGTTACCTTTATACCCAAGTTTGTGCAGAAGTTTTTTTTTCTTCCTAAGACATCTTCATTTTTGTTAACTTATGAAAAGACTCCTTCATTTCTACTTCATTTATCAATTATTCTGTAATGCTGGACAATATTACCAGTTACAAGCACTCTGACCTTTCTTACCAATTTCATGTATTCTTTATCTTTGATCTTTTTCCTCTGAAAAATCTTAATTCATTAGGTTGTTAAATACAGTGAAAGTTGGATCATGTCACATAGGAGTTCCTCCCTGCTGTTCTGTATTAATCAGGAGGTGTAAAAGAGTGCTGATTAGCTCAGAGTAAGAGCAGACCATGTGATGTCGAACAGCTGGTATATTCTCTGTAGCCAAGCCAGCAGGTTCGTTTGTGAGCGAATACCTGCTGATAGAAACTACAGCAGTGCAGTGGGGTCACATGGTCATTTTCTTTTTTGAGGGAGAAGTTTTTAACCTCTGGAGACCCAGAAAGAACTTTTTCCAAAAGTTCAAATTTATTTTTGTAGTATTTGGAACAGTGTTGTTATAATATTATTTACAAATATAGTCTTATTTTAATTTTAGTTTTAGTTGTGTGCTGGTTTTTTATTAGTGTTTTTTTTTATATATATATTCCATTTCCTGTATAGTTAAAAAAAAAAATTCATTTTTTGTTTTACTAATTTTAGTACATCAAGTTATATTTGTTTTATTTCAGAAAAGTTGTCAAGGTATTTATATATATTTTTTTATTTCAACTTAATTTAAATGAACCAAAAATTCTATAATGATTTTTACTAAAGTAAAACTAACATTTTTTTTTAATGTATGTTTACAGCAAACAAATGTTCAATTTCTTGTTGTTGTGTGACAAATTAAAAGGCCCATCCTGTTCTTTTTATTAGCTAGCAGGCTTCAATTACATCAGTTTAATCTTAATTTGCAGTTTAATTTTCTCTCTTGCAGGACATAGCTGTAATTAGGTTAAAACAATTTAGAAAATCCTTGTAATCCCATCTGAATTACAGTCAGTGTTTTATTGTTGTAGTCACTGATGTTTTGTGTATCTTTTCAGATGAAGCGTTTGAGTCTGGCAGTGAGTTGTGGAGGTGGGGTGTTTCGGCTTTTGGACGAGGGCTCTCTGCCCGTTTCACTCTTGGAGTCGAGCAGCACTTGTGTGGTTGACATGATATCGGGAAACTCCCAGGCTGTGATCCCTCCAAACTCCAAGAAGTGGGTGGATTCTGTGGCCCAGATTCTGCACAGGTGTGTGTGGATTTTTTGTGGATGCGCAGTCTATGCTGTCTGTTATTAGTTCAGACAATATAGCATTCTGTATATTCTGTATATTCTTATTCTGTATATTGAGTTATATGATAATTCTGTTCCATCTACTGTTTCAAAAAAGAAAAAAATATTTACCGTTTGTTTGTTGATTGAGTCCATTTTGTATAAGCATGTATTTGTTGTGTGTTTGTTTTAGGGATGCACCGATACCATTTTTTTCAGAACCGATCCGATATCAGCAGTTTTTTTTAAATCAATGTAGAATTTCTATACCTCTGTTTGTTAAAGGTCCCCTGACATGAAATTTTCACTTTCTGTTTTTTTTAAACATTAATATGAGTTCCCCTAGCCTGTATATGGTCCCCCAGTGGCTAGAAATTTCAATCGGTGTAAACCGAGCTTTGGCTATCTTTCTTTGCCTTTGAGAAAATGAAAGCTCAGACGGGCTGATCTTGAATCTCCTCCGTATGACGTCATACGGAGGAAAGGTAACCTCCCCTTTCTCTGCTTTGCCCTCCCAGAGAATTTGGCTCGCCCATGAGAAAATGAGCTAGGAAGTACGAACGCACGAGCGCGATTTGAGTTTTTCCTTGAGAGATAGGCTTGCAAACGAGCGAAGCATGGCAGTTGATCAGTGTTCGGATGTACAAATGAACACAAAAGTATTTTTTAGTTCCTTCATCCGAGCCTGTGAAGAAACAATGGGTTAATTTTATTTTTTCTGGAAATGCGCCGACACAACTTCCCAAAGTTTTGTATGGTCCAAACATTTCACCGACGACTGTTTCCTCAACTTGGGCCAATACAGAGCTGGCCTCGATGAACGTCTGAAAATAAATCGATTGAGCTACCAAGCAACACTTTCTGATGTGTAGCCTAATTGTTCAAGTTCAGACAGGTAAAAATCGTTCAATACTGTTTAGTCAAGCCAGTGACTAAAATATCAACTTCACATCGTTTCTTTTAGTAGGATGAAAATAATCTTATTTAAATTGTGAACAAATTATACAGAAAGCGATCAAAGAACAATCTTTCCACACAGCGCGAGTTTATCTGGACAACTCGTTATGAAATCAATGACGCACGTTACACTGCACAACGAAGCTCTTACTGTATGTACATCATCGTGTTTGCATTGGTGAAAGCATTAGAGAGAGTGCAGAAACTGCTTTGCAATGATAAGATCTTCATTCTCGCGATCAACAGACTGTCATCTGCTTGCTCAATGCTCATCACGGCAATATTTTATGTGATGGGAATAGATCTAAATACTTTAAAAACTTCTCACGATTCGTTAATCTCGATAGCTGTAATAGTAAAAATAGTAAAAAGCTGTATTAAAAGTATTCGAGAGAGTTTCACATGTAATATGTAGCTATTTCATATGCAAGCATGTCAGCCAATCACAGCAGTGGCCGCGGTTACACTGAATCCCACAGCAGACACGCCCCTTCAAACAGAGCGTTCAAATCAGAGGCTAAAATCAGGCTAGGACTATTTTTTATCTAAAAAACATACTAACATCATAAGGGCAACCCAGGAAACATTATAAAATAATAAAATAACCCCATGTCAGGGGACCTTTAAACTGATAATTACTCTTTTATGTGTTAAACATCATTATAAAGAAAAACAATAAATTAAAAAATTATATGATCATAATCTTTGACAAAATACTATTATAAACTAGATTAGTTGAAAATTCAGCAGCAAATGTTACTCTAGAAAAATCATGAGAGCAAAATAATTGTATGAAATCTAAACATTTAGTGAACAAATAAAAGAGAATAAGTGTAGCACTAAATCTGTTCAAATGTTTCTCATTGCTCTTTGTATTGTTGTAAAATACATTCATGAAAAACAAGTAAATAAATGTATAATATATACTGTAAATTATATACCGTTACCGAACGCGATGCGCTGTTTGAATGGAGAATGACTGACAACCGCAGCAGAGGGAAGCACTTAACGTTACTTGAATTTGACGACTTCAATATTTATCTCTACGTCACATTAAACGATTGAATGGCTTTAGAACACTTATAATATAGTGCACGAAAAGTTGATGGTTCTTTGTAATGTTTTTGTGCCTTTTGTGAGGCTTAACAATAACACAGAATAGTATACGCACAATATCGGATTTGGATCGGTCTCGTCTGACCGATAGCCCATCCGGCAAAGAATGGCAGAATCTGAGCCGTATCCCTTGTTTGTTTGTGCCAGAAGTAAAAAACCATTAGTAAAAAAATGGCCATTATTTAAAAAAAAAATGAAATATATTATTAAATATAATTATTTAAATTAGTTATATAATAAAAAATTATTTTGCATTCATTATGGAAAAATATATTAAATGTTTTACTTTACTGATTTTTGTTGTTCTACTCAGATAGCTCAGATAGCAGATATAATTATTTGTTGATCTTTTTCTTTCTAATGTTTTGTCTTGTTCACACAGAAACGGCTTGCGCTTTATCACAGAATCTGAGATCGGATTGGCTGCCATTCATGTCAATAATCAAACATACTGCAATCCCTGTTCTTCTATTCAATCTGGTGGGTTTACATACACTTACATACACATGCAGTGCAGACGGACTGTTTTAGAACATTACTCTTTCTTAGTAGTGTTTTTTTTCAGTATGTTAACTGACTGAATAATGATGAATATGATGATGATTGATTGCACTTTATTTTTTTATTGTGTGCATAATGGACTTTTCATGGCAGTGAATTTGAGAAGTGGACTTCCTGTTGGCCAAAAGGATTGGCTTTACGCAGAAACTGACATATCAATAACAATTTCTCAACATTTCTTCACAGAATCTGTGAAAGTGAAGCCAGTCATTGCTGCAGCAACACTTTCTCAGAACACTGCTGTGGATGAGACGGCGCTCGCGGCACCTTCCCAGAATATCACAGCCTATGTGGTCAACACTGAGCTCTCTCAGGACCAGAGCAGGTAGAAGTCTGTGCCATGAATCATTCAGAATACCTCTGTCTTCTTCAAGAATAGAAATATAAAGCAAATTGGACCACCTAACTTCTCCAGATCTGGGTAGGGTTGCACCAGCCATTCGTAAGTTCTTTCTTAAAGGGGGGGTGAAACACTCAGTTTCAGTCAATCTCATGTTAATCTTGAGTACCTATAGAGTAATATTGCATCCATCATATCTCCAAAAAGTCTTTAGTTTTATTATATTTATAAATGAAAGATATGCTGTACCGAGTCTTTCCGGAAAAAGCCAAGCGGGTGGAGGCGTGCCGTGTGGGCGGAGCTAACACGCCGATAGACACACACAGACATTTGAAGCAGTTCTAATTGTCTCTGCAGGGTTCCCGCGGAGTCTTAAAAAGTCTAAAAAAGACTTAAATTCAGAAAGTGAAATTTAAGGCCTTAAAAAGTCTAAAAAACACAAGTTTAGGTCTTAAATTTAATTTACCCAAGTCTTAAAATTCTTACCTTCGTTAATTTTGTTAATTGTGGTCAAGCGTTGTCCGCCGAAAATAAAATGTTGGTTGTTTTGTTTTCTAGTAGGCTACGTGATGATGATAATCCCATGTGATAATCCCATTGCGTGATCACTGCAGGTATAACTCCTGTAAAGTAGGTGGCGGTATGTAACCCGCGCCGCCAATAAAGTGAAGGAAGTTGGTTCACTAGCTACCTGCCCGCCGAATTCGTGCAAGACAAGTTGCAACGTCGAGGTCGGGGAAGTCGGGGCTGTCGTCGAGCGCGTAGTTTTCAAATATCATGGGGACAGGGGAAGTGTGTGTTTAACATGACTTGGCTCGATAAGGGTGAGTTTTGCAGCTGGTTACAAGCTGTCCCTAGCAATAGATATGAAGCTCGCTGAAAAATATGCAAGAAGATAATACAGCTAGGGACATTGGGTGTGAAGGCGCTCGAGCATTGCGAAAACGTTTACGTGCGGACCGAACAAGATCGCTTATATAGCAAGATTTGGTATAGCGGACTTCATCAAGAGAGATCTAATTAACACCATTAGCGGACCGTATGTCTTGATGTTCGTTGTTTACTCATTAAACTGCAAGAAAGAGATGATAATTTGGTGGATGATTTAAAAATATTCGTTAATCATCTGTAAATTGTGTAGTCATTTGAATGTAATCATAACGGTCGCCTGAGGGCGCTCAACGACCACGTCATCCGTAAGCGTGAGTTTCTAACAAAAAAACAACAGTTTACTAAAAAGAATAAATACATTAAATAATTTACCATTGTTAATTTGTGTTTATTTTTGTTTGTTGTTTTTGTATTTAACCCTTTCACACGTAAATTTAAAATATTCGAACTGATCCCCCAGCGTGAGTTTTTCTAGGCGACCGTTATTTAGAACCTGTCACTTTAATGTTTCCATGATGACGCGTCATTGCTTGTCACGTGACACAGCGCAACCACAACAGTGCTGAATGAATGATGATCTGCTTTGATGTCATTTTCCCTTTTCTATTCAAAATATTCACAAATGTATTAGCTATAACATGAAACACTGATATTCCGATTGTCAAATATGTGCAAGTGGATGTGTTTTGTTGTTTAAACACCTTCATAACGATCGCGTTAGTTGATCGTTATGAAGGTGTCAGCACAAATCAGCTGTTTGTGCGATGGGCGGCGCCATGTTAGTTTACAACACGTCAATTCCTCAACTTCTCACGAAATACATGAAAGTGGCCGGAGAACTGGGAGAAGAATAGTTTAAAATGTAAAGCTATTTACACAATGTGTATCTGATATGAATAAAACGTGTCGTCTTATTAGAATGGAAAGGATTATTATTGCCGCTTCCATAGACATCAGTCAGTGTGTGTATTTTACAAACTTAAAATATGTTTAAGAATTTCTGGGATCATTCTAATGTTTCTATTTATGTGTCGTGTTGGTCTTAAACTTTACACATAATGGTCTTAAAAGGTCTTAAAAAGGTCTTAAATGTAACAAACTGAAACCTGCAAGAACCCTGCTCTGGTTCTACTCACCGCCTGCGGTTCCAACGCAAGACCGTTAACCTTTAGTGTTGGGACTGCTCCATCCTTGAGAACTAAACGATTAGCAAATCCGGCTTCGAACTGGGCCTTGTTTATAAAAAAATCATCCTCGAAATGCATGGAACAAACAAGAACACTTGCACAACTGTGTTGATGTTCTGGAAAAACAAACTCCATCCACTGGTCCCTTAACGCTTGATTATTTGGGAATCTGTGCAGTGTTGTCTTGCCTTGGCAACCGAAAACACACTTCTTTGGTGACATATTGCAGCACAGCCGATGCACAGCGCTTTGATGGGCATAGGTTACGGCTATCGCTCTACAGCTGCACGCGCGCCCTTCCGAGAGAAGTGCCCTTAGGACCGTATAAGGAAATTCCGGCGCATCTGACGTCATACACGCCCATACTCGAAAAAAAACTTTCCGAAACTTGTGACAACCAGGAAGGAGTATTTTGAGAACAGAAATACTCAATCAAACGTACAACTTAATTTTTGAAACTTTGTCCATGTTTAGCATGAGAAGCCAACTCTTTAACAGTGTAAAAAACTCACTATGCATGAAATAGCATTTCACCCCCCCTTTAAATTGGAACGGAAAATCCACACTAGAGGCTTAGCAACTACTAGCTAGTTTGTAACTAACTCTGTACTTTATTTGGTTGCACCATTTTTTTCTTAAGGCAGAATGTAAGTAGTTGGTCGTAAGCTCTCCGTAAAGTAATGCGTAGTTGCTTAAAATGACGTTTACCCTTAATGATCCAACAGCAGCCTTCAAATACGTGAACAGAAGTTGTGTTTAAAGGCTTTGAATTTCACTTTATCCTTCATTCTTTTTTCTCTTGTCTTGCCTCACGTAACTATGGTTAAAATAGGTTTTCATTAAAATATGATACTATTTAATCATGAATAACATAATAGATATTTTGTATATAAATAACATGAAACTGTGTTTAAAATTAATAAGGATCAATAAATAAATACTGATACAAAGAGAAGTGTGTAAATGGCAGCATTATCATATGCTGTATGTCTAAAGGATTCAAGTCTTTCGGGTAAAACAAAAGCTTATTGATGCAAATCAGTCTGCTGTTTTATTCCAACTGTTACTCCTGGTTGAAGGCTTCTGTAAATATTTAGTTTATTCATTGAGTTACATTTCAATGGTGCAACGTGAAAATATTTAGTAGTTTGTAAGTTGTAACTTAAGTCCTATTCGGACGGGACTAGTTTAACATTGAGAGGGGTAAAGTAATAATTACCAGAGCTTCTCTGTGATTTTAGTCCTGTCCGAATGTGCTATCTCAGTAATTATTACGGACAATGTCAGTAAAGATTACAGCGACTTTTACCATCAGTAAAAAATTACCTCAGGTAATACTAATCACGTGCGAATAGACCCGCTGTAAATATATATGTAAAAATGTCTTCATTCCGTGTTTAAAAGTAGTTTTCCGCAGTTTTTCAAGTATGGAGACGCTTGAAAAAGAATTCAGTTCTAGACACTGGGACAAGTCTGTGACAAAACTCAAGTGTTTTCCACATACCATTCAGATCAGAAAGAAGATTGAAAGAACTTGTTAGAGGCACGAAACATCTTTTAGCGTTAAGGAAGTGCCTATTACCAACACAATCCAATCTGAAGTTAATTAATACATCGTTCTACCGGACATAACTGTTTTATATATATATATAAATATAATACAGGTTATATGTGTTTGGCCACGTGATATCAGGAAGCAACATAACATGACAACAGGAGGTTGACGGCGATGCACAAATCGAGTTACCCCTCCCACTTCTGCTAGTTTTATTGAGATATCTTATCCCGTGCAAATTGGCCATTAATATTACAGACGTCCTGTGGTAAAATTACATTACTCCATCTACCCTTGTAAAGTTAATCCCGTCCGAAAAGGGCTTTAGTGTCCATTTAAGTCTAAACTAGACTGAGCTGTAACTTACGCACAGCTGGTGCAACTGGCCCCTGAACCTCAGAACAATAACCTAACATTTTAAGTGGTGTTCAAACCTTATGACTAGAAATAGCCTTATTTGACAGCTTTTTGTGCTTTGAAATGAACTAGACTTCTGCTTTAAGCAAATGACTTTACTTTTGGAAGTGAGACAACAAAACACAAATTAAAGTGAAGAAAACAATCAGTTAATTCATTGTTATGAGCTGATTACTCCATCTATCCAGTGTTGGTCCCTTTTTAAAATTATAATTATTGGATTTATTTTTTTATTTGTATTTTTTTAAATAAACCAATCAATTCACAGTCTGCAGACCAGAGTTCAAAAACCACTGTTTTACAGCACTTGCAAATAATGATAATAAGAAGTGTTAATATAAATCTGGGCCGGTATTTATAAAGAATCTTAATGTGAATCTCCTAGTGACAAAATTCTAAGAAAATTCTTAGAAATGTGGGCGTTTACTCTTAAAATTAAAGAAAAAATCCTAGTAAAGAAAAAAGTAATTTAGAAAGTATCTTAACCCTTAAAAGAGGTCTTAAGGTCAAAATTGTTAGGAGCATGGACGAGGACTTTTAAGAGGCTTAAGAGTTTCCTTAGCAGAGGAGAAAATGGCAGAAAGAAGAAGAGGGAGAAGAAATGTGTTGCAGACAATAGATGACAGTGAGTTAATAAGACGCTATAGATTGACACCCAGCCCGAATTATCCTTTAAGGATGGCCTTGTGTTCATCCACTAACTGGGCTAACAGTAAACACTGTTCCTCTATCCAGTCGGGGTTTCTCGTCCTTCTTGGTTTTGATTCCATGTTTGTTACATTAAAACCAACATTCAAACCACCACTTAAATAGACATGCCATCAATCAGTGTAATTGGAAAGAGTGGAACAATTTGTATCATTCTAAGCCAATCAAATACCTTATAGGAAATTAACAGCATGGTAAATAAAAACTAGAATGTACATTTCCAGAAGAAAATGTGAAGTGGTGCTTGCAGTGGCAAAACTCGCCGCTCGGTTGCTAGCGTGCGGTTAGCTAGTTTTTAGCAAGAAGCTAGCATGATTAGCATGTTGCTAGCATCATGCTAGCATGATTAGCATGTTGTTAGCATTATTAGCATGTTGCTAGCATGATGCTAGCATGATGCTAGCATGATTAGCATGAATAGCATGTTGCTAGCATGTTGCTAGCATGATGCTAGCATGATTAGCATTTTGCTATCATCATGCTAGCATGATTAGCATGTTGTTAGCATCATGCTAGCATGATTAGCATGTTGTTAGCATCATGCTACCAACATGCTAGCATGATTAGCATGTTGCTAGCATAATGCTAGCAAAAATAAGCATGTTGCAAACATGTTTTAGCTAGATGCTAGCATGATTAGCATATTGCTAGCATCATGCTAGCATGTTTAGCATGTTGCTAGCATGATGCTAGCATGGTTGCTAAGGTGTTACTAGGTGGCTGCTAGGGTATTATGGGTGGTTGCTAGGGCGTTGCTAGGCGGTTGCTAGGGTGTTCTGGGTGGTTGCTATGGTGTTGCTAGGGTATTCTGGGTGGTTGCTAGGGTGTTTTGGGTGGTTGCTAGGCGGTTGCTAGGGTGTTCTGGGTGGTTGGTATGGTGTTGCTAGGCAGTTGCTAGGGTATTCTGGGTGGTTGCTAGGGTGTTTTGGGTGGTTGCTAGGCGGTTGCTAGGGTGTTCTAGGTGGTTGCTAGGGTGTCGCTAGTCGGTTGCTATGGTATTCTGGGTGGTTGCTAGGCGGTTGCTAGGGCGTTGCTAGGCGGTTGCTAAGGTAATCTGGGTGGTTACTAGGGCGTTGCTAGGCGGTTGCTAGGGTGTCCTGGGTGGTTGCTAGGCGGTTGCTAGGGTGTTCTGGGTGGTTGCTAGGGCGTTGCTAGGCAGTTGCTAAGGTGTTGCTAGGGTAATCTGGGTGGTTGCTATGGTGTTACTAGGTGGTTGGTAGTTGTCACAGATGGTTACTGTTGAGTTTGTAGCATTTTATTGGCATGATTTAGCACTTAGCTAATCAATATTAGCATGTAGCTATTCACTGCTAGCATGTGTAGGATGTAGCAAGTCTTGTTTGCTAGCATGAGTCAAAAGAGCCAACCCCCATCTCTATACGATGTTCTGATACAGAGATATAGGTCTTGCAAAACGGTTGCTAGGGTACTCTGTTTGGTTGCTAGGGAGTGGCTTGGCAGCTGCCAATCATGAAGCTCCAAAGTCAATGTGAATGTATAAACCAACCCCCATCTCTATACGATGTTTTGATGCAGAGATATAGGTCTTGCAAAATGGTTGCTAGGGTACTCTGTTTGGTTGCTAGGGAGTGGCTTGGCAGCTGCCAATCATGAAACTCCAAAGGCTGCTTGTCAGTATAAATGATATAAACCAACTCCCATGCCTCTGTGACATTCAGAATGGAAGATATCCCTGTTTGGAATTTGGTTGCTAAGGTGCTCGACAATGGTTGCTAGGGAGGGGTTAGGATGTGTTGAGGTGATTCAGGATTGGCTGTTTGCTGCCCCGAGTCAAACGAGACCACCCTCATGTTTCTATGACTCTTATATCCTGAGATATCCCTTTGATCTGTTTCAATGGAAGTCTATGGAACTTGTTGCTAAGGAGCTCTAAATGGTTGCTAGGGCGTGGCTTGATAGCTTCACAATGATCCTGAGAGACTGATTGGTTGTCTGAGTAAAATGAGCCCGCCCCCTTGTCTCTATGACACTGTGATCCAGAGTTATGTTCAATATAAAAGCGGTTTCTATGGTGTAGGACGGCCCATTTCATGGGCCGTCCTACACCATAGTAAGTCAATGGGGAAAATTTGGGCAGCTCCTGCGCCCCAGGGGTGCAACTTTTACCCCATTGTGTGGTATATTCTTACAGAGCCTGTCAGCCTCTTCAAATGTGGTAAATTACACGTTTCTGCGACATCCTCGTTCCGACCTACGACTCGTCAAAGTTTGACGCAATGTTAAGTCTATGGGATTTTTCGGCCGGTTTTTCGCCCCTGGGGCGAACATCGTACCCCCGATCCCTTATAAAAGTCATAGCACACCATTCCCGAACAGGCCGCACGTTTTGACACCTCACTCATGGGTCTGTGACAAAAACTGCGGGAGGAGTAGCGCGTCAAAATGTGGCCGGAAGAATAAGAATAAGAAGAATAATAAGTATGCACAATAACACTAGTGTTGCTTTGCCATAGGCAAGCACCACTAAAAAAGGATTTATATACACATAAATAGTGTGTGTGTGTGTGTGTGTGAGAACGGTCAAATAGGAAAAATTACGCATGTAATTTCAAAGTGAAGGCTTAGAATAGACCCTATAGTTAAAATCACTCTTTTTTTCCTTCTTGGACAACCAACCAATCACAATCTTCAAAAGACTATGTCATTCATGGCAACGGGGTCAGCCCCGCCTCCTCACTAAGATGAAAGTTTTTGTCTTCTTTTCCTTACTCAGAGTTGCTCTCAGATCCGTCCCGAATCGCTCTTAAGCTAAGACTCCTATGTAAAAAATGTTAAGCTAAATAAAAGTTTTCTGAGAGGATTCTTAGAATCTTTATGAATAGGGGCCCTGTCTTGTAAAGTAAGTCAATGTTCATATTTTCAGGATGGTTACAAGTGGAATGAGTGCAGTTGGTGAGACTCCTGAGAAGACACGTCCCACAAAGAACGTGGAAAAGAAGGTATTACATACTGCAGATGTAATACCCACAGTGGCATAGGTTTGATTTTGAAATTGGTGGGGACGGGGACATAAATATTTAATATATTTAAAGTTTTGATCGAAAATATTGCTCGGGATATATCAGTGTCACTGGATATTGGTAGGGACACGTCCCTAGCGTCCCTACTAAATTCTACGCCCCTGAATACCCATATCTGATCATAAATTGCTTTCTTTTAATGCTAATGTTACACTCTCTAAATCCAAACAACAACGCTTGATGACATTCCGGAATATAAAAAGATTGACCCCCTCAGTTTTGACTGCTCCGATTACTGATCTTCCACTCAGTGACAATCTCACTTCTCCTGACAATTTGGTCTCCTTTTATAACTTTGAACTACAGCAGCTCCTTGACACTTGCACCTCTTAAAACTCGGACTGTATCATTCACTCACTCTGCTCCCTGGTTTACTCCTGAACTTCGCCACCTCAAAACCAGAGGCTGGCGATTGGAACGCCTTTATAAACGAACTTGACTTATGATACATAGAGAGCTGTATTGTGAACATGTTTATAAAGATGCACTTTATGCTGCCAAAATTGTTTTTTATTCACATTTAATTGAGTCTGGAGATAGTAATACTAAAGCACTGTTCTCAACTGTAAATCGTATTCTGAAACCTCCTGGCACACCTGTACTGCACTGCTCAATGTGATAAATTTATGTCTTTCTTCAATGACAAAATAACTACCATCCACCAACAATTGGCCTCTTTGGCCACCCCTTACTGTAGTTCGCCACACAGAGTCTCAATTAATTTTCCCCTCTCCTTTCTTCTTTTAACTTGCCATCCGCAGAAGAAATTTCTCAGTTAATTTACAAAACTAATTCTTCCACTAATTCTTCTTCTTACTTGATCCTATACCAACTCATTTGGTAAAGGCCTATTTTCCTTCTCTTTCTTCTCTTATAACTCGTATTATTCACATGTCTCTTAGCTCCGGCATTGTTCCATCATCTTTTAAAATAGCTGCCATAACCCCAGTTCTTAAGAAACTTGGTGCAGACCCTAACAATCTAGATCATTTCCGTCCCATCTCAAATCTTCCATTTATTAAAAAAATTCTTGAAAAAGCAGTGACAGCACAGGTTCATGCTCACCTTAGTAATAATAACTCGTATGAGTGTTTTCAGTCAGGGTTTCGTTCTAAGCATAGCACGGAAACTGCCCTAGTGAAAGTAACTAATGATCTGTTAATGGCTGCTGATGGCGGGTTCTTATCTATTCTTGTTTTACTTGATTTGAGTGCAGCTTTCGACACAATTTCACACAATATTCTCTTGAACCGTTTATCCGATATTGGTATCACTGGTATTCCTTATGCCTGGTTCACTTCATACCTTTCAAACCGTACACAGTTTGTACTACTAAAAACATTTCATTCCCAACCTTCTTCTGTTAGCTATGGTGTCCCCCAAGGTTCTGTCCTAAGTCCCCTATTGTTCCTAATCTACCTTCTCCCACTCGGTAATATTTTTTCCAAATTCGGTATTAAATTCCACTGTTACGCTGATGATACACAGCTTTATATATCTACAAACCCTGATTCCATTCTCCCCCCTGCCTGTCTTACCAACTGCCTTCACAAAATAAATGTCTGGTTTTCTGACAACTTCCTCAAACTTAATGGTAGTAAGACTGAAGTACTCCTTATTGGCACTAATTCTACTCACTCTAGGTCCTGCATTTTTTCGTTATCCATTGATGGTTCTTCCGTTTCTCCTTCCCGCCAGGTTCGGAACTTGGGGGTCATCTTCGACAGCACCCTTTCTTTTGAAGCTCACATTAATAACATAACCAGGTCTTGTTATTTTCATCTCCACAATATTGCTCACCTCCGTCCATTTCTCACTCTGCGTAGTTCCGCTATTCTTGTTCATTCGCTTGTCACCTGCCGCATTGATTACTGTAATTCTCTACTGTAATATCTGGTTTACCACACAAATCTCTTCATAAACTCCAGCTGATTCAGAATTCTGCAGCTCGTATCATAACCCGGACTCCATGTATTCAACATATTACCCCATCACTCCAGCAGCTACATTGGCTTCCTATCAAATTCCGGATTGAATTTAAAATTCTCCTCCTCACTTACAAATCTCTTCATAACCTTGCACCACCATACCTTTCAGATCTCTTACAGCCCTACACCCCTTCTTGATCTCTCCAATCCTCTTCATTGGGTCTCCTTCATACACCTTCTGCTCGCCTAGCCACCATGGGCCTTAGGGCAGTCAACATCCATAATTCAGACTCGTTAGCTCAATTTAAAGTCAAACTTAAAACTCATCTATTCAGAATTTCTTATCTTCCATGACTACTTTGTGCACTCAAATATAGTACTTTTTTACTGCAATTTTTTTTATTGCTATTGTTATTTACTGTTATTTTCTGTTTTAATATTGTTATTGCTGCTACTTGTTGTATGGTGACCTTGAGTGGTTTGAAAGGCGCCTTAAATAAAATGCATTATTATTATTATTATTAAGAAGGACTCCACACTATCAGCAACCAATAAATCCTCATCCCTCGGCCCGGAACCTTCCACTTCCCGCATCATCAGTGAGACGGTGAGGTCATCTGAGAGCTGCAGCATGGTTGAGCCTGAGCAGAGGATGAAGAAAGGTTCTGCTCCTTCGGGCAGGGGGCAAGTTGAATTTGAAGGTTCTGGGACAGCACCTCTCAATGGCAGCAACACACTAAAACAGTCCCCCCAGAAACAGACAGCCCTCACAAACTTCTTCCAGCCTGCCGGCAAGAAAAGGCAAGTCTGATGCCACACCACATCACTAAAGCTACATTCACACTGAAAGCTTTAATGCTCAATGCAGATTTTTTTGCTCAGATCCGATTTTTTTTAAATATGGCCAATATCAGTCTGACCCGCATACCCAAAAGCACATTAACAAAGGCTTCACGCAGCACACTGTCATACGGAAATAAACATGGAGGTTACTGAAGTCACCATTTACGCATTAATTTATAAGGTTATGTGCCGTGGAAGCCAGCGAAATTTGGACGAGGATGAGGAGAAAGCGTAAAGTTTTTTTGGTGCAGTTTTTCATCAAGTTTTGCTTGTATAGAGCTGTCACCGTATTACTTATGAGTATAACAGCTCACCGTCCCTCCACTGACTAACTTTGCTGCCGTCTTCCATTTTCAAAGAAGTCAAGTCAAGTCATCTTCATTTATATAGCGCTTTTAACAATGAATTGTTTCAAAGCAGCTTTACAGAGATAAACATATAATTTAAGGTAACAGATTGTTTTGGCGTTATAGCGGTTCTTGAATAATGTTACTTCCAGCTAAAGTTAACTTTGATTGATTCACCTCCGTCGAAATGATCAGACTTTAAACGCGAACCTGTGATTAACGCTGACGGCGTTCACATGCTCATTCAGAATTCTATAGTTATGTGCTTTTTAAAATATGTGCGCAGGTTTGTAATTCATACAACCCAGCCTAAACAAACTACTTTTCTTGCCTAAAGAACTACCGGTATGTAAAATCTTTGGAGTGATGTCCATCAGCTCAGAATTGTGACGAATGTCGATCTAGAGTAACATAAATGTCGCATGAATTCTGATATGACTATTATTTTGCCTCCAGTGTGAACGTAGCCATAGATATTTTAAAATAACTGTTTTCTATTTTAAAATTGAATTTATTCAAAGCTGGATTTTATGCTGCCATTACTTCAGTCTTCAGTCTCATGATCCTTCAGAAATCATTCTAATATGCCGATTTGATGATGCTCAAGAAATATTTCTTAATAGTATCAGTGTTGAAAAGCACACGCATGTGAAGCACACACAAATGAAGTTAATACAGTTGCTTGCCTAGAATTAGTGATGTTCGTAGTGAGATTTAATTCATTTATTTGGTTTGTTTTTATTTTTACTTTTACGTTTGTGCTTTATCAATATGTAAAGTAATGAGACAGAAAATGCTGCATGTAGTCTAATAAATGTGATTAAAAGAAGTCACATGGCCTTAAGTACAACCAACTAATGTGTCTCAACTGACCACTCATAATCAGATCACCCAGGATAGACATTAAAACCAGGTGTACAGGGTCATGTGACAGTACCTTTTGAAAGGTTGCATGATGTTTGAACTATTTTATGATTATGTATTGTTTATGATTGCAGGCCCCGTGAAGACAATGCCAATTCTATCCAGTCAGAGATCAAAATCTTCAGAAAAGACAGTGAAGATAAAAAAGACGAGATCCAGCAAAATTCCTCTGCCAAAAACTCACATACTGCCCAAAACCAACACAGCTCAGTGTCAAGATCTGAGTTCAGTGCCAGTCTGGGTCAGGCTTGTGGGTCCAGTCAAAACTCTGGCAGCAAAAAGAGGAAGGAACCAGAGCTAGACGTCCCATCAGACCCTGAGGAACCTGAAGCAGCTGCTGATTTAGAAATGTCACTTGAAGAGCTTGAATCCATAATGTCCGACGAGATGGATGAGCCTCCGTGTGCTGCAGCTAATAAAAAACAACGTCTTGAGTCAGGACCAAACAGCACAATCAATAACCCACAATTGCCCAATCAGCAAGAGGGCACTGAGTCCAAAAGCAGAAAAGGCTCAAGGAACAACATTCAGAACTTGCAGTTGGACAGAACAGGCCCAGCTTCAACAAATCAGGGCTCAGAGAGGCAGTCAAAGAGGTCACCCAATCAAACGCCAGATCTGGCGGCACATAGGTCAGCAAACAAGGGGAAAAGACCAGAACTTGAAGAGGTCAAAGAGGAGGAAGTGTCTTTTGTTGTGGTACGGAGACAGCCATCATTTGTTTTTTATAAATATATTTTATGTTTTTATCTACAGAACAGCTAGTCCCATGTTTTTTTCTTTCTTTCAGAATTCAAGGACTCAAAATGGCATTTCTCAGCACAGTGAGACTGTAGCCTATCAGGAAATACAGGTGAGAGGTTTAAATACAGACAATAGTTGTGAGTCGGTTTGACCTATGCTACCTAATAATATCTTTTCAGGGTTTCACAAAGGTCATGATCACAATGTTCACCCTGTTTTCCCTCAGAGTGTTTTGTAACATGTTGGTGTAATAAAATCTCTGTTGATCTGAAGGCCTCAACCTCCAAAACTGGATCTGAGAATGACGCTGAGCTGCCCAGGAGTCTCCTACAGGTTCAGTTTAAGTCCCTGACTGTGAGCACCTCCTCTTCCAGATCAAGACCTGGCCCACTACAGACCCGTGACCCCAATGACAAAAATGTCAAAAGGTTCCGCAAGGTCTGAGCGAGTGTCTCGTGCACGCTTCTGTAATATTATGGCAAAGTATCACAGTGTCTGTTTATCTGTGTATATGACCATTTAAATGGCTTCTGTGTGTGCATGTTTAGGCAAATGTCCCTGGATTTAATGGGCTGCCCAACATTATCGGAGGCTCGGATCTGGTGGCTCACAATCGCAGCAAGAACTCTGAACTGGAGGAATGGCTTAGACAGGCAACAGAGGTGAGAGACCACAGGAGCAAGGAAATGAGTGGCAACAAACCATGGGAAATGGGCGTTATACTTAGACTGTATTATATTTATGGCATTGCCTGTTATTGGATATTTAATTGTGCATGCTCATTTCCCCTTTTTTAGAATTCGATTATTTCGTATTTTTTACGCTCACTTAAAGTTTATTTTTAAAATCACTTATAATTTAATCATTAATTTTTATATTAAAATAATAAATAATATATATTTTAATGGCTGCTGTTTTTCATTGACCATTTAGCAGGGGTGTTATTTAGCAGGGTTATATTTGTCTTTCATGTCATTAAAGTAAAGTAAAAAAAAAAAAGATTTCCCTTCGGATTGTAATTTTAATAATTTGGAGTAATCTGCTTATTTTTGCTTGCATTGAAACAGTAGTCGACATATTTTTTTTCCTTACTTAATTTTTAAGTTACTCTTGTGCAAAGCTTTATGCTTATATCATACCATATAAAATGCTATTTTATACAGATGATTGCCAGGGTGCGAAAGCCTTTTGTCATGAAATGACATTTTAATTTTCCTTGTTAATCACTGTGCCATACCCATTTGTTAAGAAATTAATGCATTTGATCAAAAGTGACAGTAAAGACTTTTACATTAAATAAATCCTGTTCTTTTGAACTGTCTATTCATCAAAGCATTAAAAAAATGTATCACAGTTTCCACAAAAATATTACTTGCTTAAAAATATTAAGGATAAGTGTAGTAAGATTCAGATTAAAGGTGAAGGAAGAAGACGGGCTCAGCTTGTCTGAGACTCGTGACTTTATTTTAGTAAATCATACAATAACATAAATGCGCACAGCGGGCGCTTCTCGTAACTCAGTTTTTCACTCTTTCCACCAGTGCTCTTCAGAGCTTTGCAACCATTCCAACTTTTTCCACTTGTTTGGTTCACGAGTCTCAGCCAGTTCCTCTCTGCCGCTTCACATCTCCCACTGGTGGCTTTTATCCGTCTCTTCACGCCAATTATTGAAACGAGACACAGGTGTTTGTCATTTGCACTTGACCCACTTACACGCCACTAGTCTCCTTTCTCTCTCGTCACAGACCTTGGCTGAACCATGCCCCCCTTGCCACAATAAGGATCATGTGACACTGAAGACTGTAGTAATGACTGCTAAAAATTTTGCTTTGCCATCACAGGAATAAGCTGAATTTTAAAATAGAAAAAAAAATTGTTCTTTTAAATTGTAACAAGATTAAACATGAATAAGATTAAATCAATAAGATTAGCTTCTGAATACCAGATTTCCTTACTGAACCCCACTGTATTTATGTGATCTTTTCCCCTAATGTTGTAGTTTGCGCATAACTATCACTGTGATTTGTGTGTGGAATGTTAAGCACCCTGGATACCGAGTTGAACATCAACACTGAGAGCAGTAGCTTTTTTTTCCCCTGAAAACTAAAAGCAACAATAGCACAACAAACTGAGCTGTCATCCATTCACACAATCGCGCAGTGCAATGGATGTGAAACAGACTTAACCTGTTAAATTACATCCTTACTTTGGAGCACAAACGACACAAAATCACAGTCGCTAGTAGATATAAATGGTCATAAGTTTTTTTTAGCTTTCAATTGATGTGTATTTTGTCATGTTTTAATTAGTATGCATTCGTTAATTTATACAGTGAATTACAGTAAACAGAAAGCGGTCACTGATCTGGATGTTGACAAGTTCTTGTACAATTCACTTCAAGAGCCGCGTTTCCACTGCCGGGCTAGGGCTGGGCCAGGGCTAACAGCGAGCCGAGCCGAGCCAGCCAACCCATGTGCCTCGGGCCTTAAGCACCGGGCTTGCGTTTCCACTGCCGGGCCAGTAGCCCCGCAGCGCTGCCCTAAACCCCGCCCCTAACACGCCTTTCTGGATCAAACGTCATACATACAACCCAACCCATTTCAGCGGATATTATGAATGCATTTATTTTTTAAGTTAGGAAGATAGCATGTATATTAACTCACCGGCCGTGGCTGCAATAGTGTCCCGATTGTCTCGCGAGTTGTCACTAACAGAGGGACGGTGACCCAGCACACCGTCCATCAAGTCGAACCATGGAAAGTTCCTTTTCTGAGCTCCGCTTTGTCCATTGTGCGTTTTAATCACCTTGAACAATACTGCGCCCGCAACTTTTTAATTTTTTTCCTGAACTTGAAGCGTTGCTCGCTGCATGCTTAGAAAGTTCAGCATCGATGTATTTTATAACGTCCTCGTTTCTTCACACGCCGTCAAATTGACGTTGTACCCTTTCTTCTGCCCAAATGCTCAGAAGAGCTTTGCAGCGATTATTTTGCGCGATATAAAAAAGTGAAATGTGCATCTTGCTTCAGATCATAACGTTCCATAACACCGATAAACTCCGCCTTTTACCTTGACCACGCCTCTAGCCCGAGCTGGCCCGCTTTGGCCCAAGGTATTCGATGGGCCAGAAATCCTGGCCGTTGGCCCCGAGTAAGCCCCGATCAAGCCCCGGAAGTGACAGTGGAAACGCGACTGGCCCTGGCACGCACTAGCACGGCTCGGCCCTGGCCCTGCAGTGGAAACGTGGCTAAGTACTATCAGGTACTCAAAAACTCAACTCGAGGTGGTTGTGCAAGCACTTTGTTAGATAGATAGATAGATAGATAGATAGATAGATAGATAGATAGATAGATAGATAGATAGATAGATAGATAGATAGATAGATAGATAGATAGATAGATAGATAGATAGATAGATAGATAGATTTTAATTGTCCTCGGGAGGAAATTTGTTTCTACCATAGGTGCGTACATAACACAAACACAGATAACATGTTAAATTATCAACATATCATAATACCAACAGAAATAGTTGCTGACATCAAAGAGAAACACAAAAAAAAAAAAACAAGAGAGCATACATGACGTATCAATGGCAAATTTCCTAGGTATTTAGAGCTTGTATAGATACAGGAGCAAAACTCTTACTATACCTGGCCTTTCTACACATCGGTAACCTATACCTACGGGCAGAAGGAAAGTGGGTGATCTGAGTCGTTTAAGATTTTTTGTGCCTTTCGCAACGTGAATGCCGAGACACTATCCGATAAATTAGGGATACCAATACTTTTACTTGCTAAATAAGTTATCTTTAAGAATTTGTTCTTGTTGGTAACTGTTAGCATATGAAAAAAACAAATGGCACCATAGGTAAGGACTGGGCCAATATTACTGCGATATAACAGAAGAAGAAGGCGTGGCTGAACAGACAAGTGTCTGAGTTTACGAATAGCTGTCAGTCTTTGTTGACAGCATTTGTAAACCCCTAGAGTGTGCTGGTTGAAGTTGAGATTTTGATCCAAAGTAATGCCGAGATATTTGAAATACTCTACCCTTTCAACTATCTCTCTGTTTATGGTAATGCTAGAAGCATGGATCTGTGGTTTTGGGGAGGTAAAGACCAGTTCCTTAGTTTTTGAAATATTGAGGTATTGTTAGAGCTGTTCTGTTTAAGTTTCACATTTTAATGGTATTTCTAGCTCCTAAATAAAACATGCTGTGTGAATTAGAGGAAGGACTACCTCAAAATGTAGTTTCTTGGATTTAGTGTCTTCATCCAATTGAAATACATTCACCTTACTAGTGGTTGCCAAACCCTGACATATATTCTCTCTCTTTTAGGAGGAAAAACAGAATGAACGGGAGGAGATTTTGGGAGATGATTTGTTCAGGTATGCAGTCTATGTGATTGTGCAGACATGGATGGGGGGGTGGGGCATAGATCAAACAGACAGAATGTGAGTGACGTCAAGTGCGACGTGAGCAATTTTAGTGCTCTTTTGAACCCTGACTGAGATTGTCTGATCCCAGTCCATTTCTCAGTCATGCAGACAGTCGCCACCTGCCTAAACTAACACTACATTCAACAAGACACCGACCTCTGACCCCAGATATCAAGGCTCACAATGAGACAAAAACCTTTGTTTTGACACACTATGGGCTTAGCCTGGAGTGGACTGGCTGAGACCGGTTTAAGCAACGGGATAGTGTTACGCACTGAGGCAGGCCAGGCAGAACAGAGGTATTGGATCCGATTCCCAGTATTGTGCCCCACTTTGAATCCTCTGTCAGACAGCCTCTCAGATATTTGGCGGTAGACTTCTACAGCTTTGACATACCTTTGAAAAACTTCACTCAACCGCAGCAAGTTTCTTTCGTAAAGTCACGCACACTTTTTATGAACTGAATTCATGAACTCATCAACTGTGTGTTCTGGCTGCTAATAAGCTACCAGGTCTGATCCACCAGTGTCACGGCATCACGCATGAGTTCTTGAAGGGGGTGTTTTCTCCTTTTAGCAGATCCTTCATTTTCGCAGAGCACGCTTGGAAAGTATGACGTCAATGATTTCCCAACTGCCCCAACTGAACAGTCATTGTTCACAGTTGAGGTCACGCTGGGCTGTGATGACCCGTTGATATTTCTAACAAGCTCATGCTGATTAAACACTAAGTGATTAGGACAGAAAATACAGTGATGATTTAAGTTAGTGGTCAGTGTCTTTAGATTATTTCTTTAGTAGATTCACTCATATCAAATTTTTATATATATATATATATATATATATGGAATGCAAATAATTGGCATAACTTTACTTTCAGATATTGATGTAGACTTTGTCCTCATACAACTGAAACGTCGCCACCATCTTGTGTCTTAAGGCCCGGTAATTTTCTGCGTTCCGCTCCGTGCGCAAGCCTTTCAAAGTATGCTTCTTTGGCCGAGCCTTTAGGCTCGCATCTTCTTAGAGAAAGAAGGGTTAGGCCTTGTCAGGCACAGAATTGTTGCCTGGAGACTGAACCTGGCTAACGGGGGACTTTCAAGTGGTGCCATTTCTCCTGCCAAAGCAGAAAAACCCACACTCGGCCCTCAAATATACAGACAGTCACGGCTGTGTGGTTGTGTCCAACACAACTGTTTGATCTCTGAATCTGCTCAGCCAGTCATGCATGGGGTGGGAACATCACACAGAAAATAATAAGAATGAAAAGAAAACAGCACCTGTTTTTCTAAAATCTGCTCCAGCTCCCTCCCCCAGGCTAATGAAGTGTCCCAGACATGTTTTATGGAAGGGGATGTCTGGTTTTATGACTTTTAAATAATGTCTGATTTTTACTGCATACCAGTTTATATCAATTTGCTCAGTTATTCAATCATTTAGACATCAGTTACTAATTGTCATTCGTTGGGCAGGAATGTTAAAAGCCTTTCTGGGAATGATGGTTGGACTGTGTAAGTTACTTGCTATTGTGTTGAATCTGTTTTGTTTTTCTCTTTTTCTCTCAGGTACAACCCTAAACCTGCAAAGAAAAAAAGATAATAATGTTCATAATGTGGTAAATATCTGTGATAAGATTGCCAAGCAAAACACATTTCCATTTTTATTAGAGATTTATTTGTCTATAATAAAAAATACTGTGTACAAAACTTATATGTAATAAATGTTGAAGTTTTACAAAATTGAGCAGTTATATTTCACCTCCTTGTGAAGCAGCTTCAATCATTCTGCACTGAATTAAAGGACTTTCCTTATTTCTTACAGCTCAGATTTGTCTTAAATTTTGGTTCCTTCAAGTGTACCTTCATGTCTTTTGATGAAATCTGCGGTCTAAACTGTCACTCCACACAAGGATACCCTCAGCAATCTAAACTTACAGTATGAATGGCTGAGGTGAAAACGTAATGCTTTAGAAGTTATTATTTCAAAGCATTATAACATTTATTTGGCACTATAGATAAGTATGAAATAAAACATTTCACTAGTATTCAGTACTGTGAAATACCTTATTGAGGAGTCAAACCCTGTTGCAAAACATATCACATTGGATTAATCTGAATTCTCTGATCAGAAAATCCTTATTTAACTATTTTACTTATAAAATACCTTAGGGACTGAGACACACCATGGTTACTATAAATTACAATGTACTGTAGGTTTGGCACTTGTTAAAAGAGTAAAGTTGGTTTGGATCTTGTCTGATAGAAAAGATACACATAGTCCAGGTCTTACAATATGGCCTCCTAATCCTTCTGAATACCAAACTTGTCCAGATCAACTTGTGGCTCTGTTGCTGTAGACTCCCTTCTTGACTTATGCTGCATTCACACTGACAGCAAATAAATCACTGAAGATCGCTGAGTCTCTGAGCTTTTGGTGTCTAGTAGGAATTCCTACTCTGCCTCTATATCCAACTCAGGCTGCTTCTCTTTGCTCTGCTCAACCTTGTCACTTCTCAACAGCAACAGTCTGTTGCTTGTGACGCCAACTATGAATGATGTTCAGTTGCTTTGCCGCTACAAATTGCTGTCAGTGTGAACAGCCCTTTAGGCACTTCGATTATTAAATGAGAGATATGCAGTCTGTGATGTAATGTAAGAGCAGATTACTAATTACAAATAACAAGGCAACTGACAGCAACAAGAGGTAAAGTGTACTCCATCTAGACTTTAAATGACACTGACATATTGGCGCATTACTGTATTTCTGACCAGCAAAAAAAAAAAACGCTTTTGTAAGAGTCCACATAAGACTCCATTGGGAAGAGAGTAGTTTCTCCTAGCTTCTGCTCATTTTTATAAATGTACTTTATTTTAGAAGTGGAAGGAAAGTTGAAAATTCATTTGTATTCACTGCATACATACAAAGATGAGATGCATCCCAAGATGACTACTGTCATGAAACACCTTCTCATGGAGCCTTAGACAAATCCTCTTCCTCCACCCCCACTTCCTTCTCTTCCCCGTCCTCCACACCCTCCTTCATCGGCGATCAATTTCCTGTTTTTCTTCATCCTCTGTTTCAGTCTCTTGAGCAAACAGCTAGCAATGCCAAGAGCGCCCCCCTTCAAGAAGCGTACAAAGTTGTCACCAACTAGGGGTCCCATGGCAAAGAGCCCAGGCTCAGCATTGCACTCAAAGGTGTAAGGGTTTATGTCGACAGGATTCTGTCTGCAGGAGATTGGCCTACTGGGATCCAAGCCAAGGTACTGCCCTTGGTCCTTCAAGAAAAACAAGTTGGGATAGGTCCCGATCAGAACTAGCACCATTGAGACTTTGAAGACTCTAAGGACACCATTGTATCCCTTCATCACACAGTGCATGTCGGGCTGGAAGGAGAGCACACAGTGCTCAGGGAAGCTGGTGTAGTCGGGAAACAAAGATGGACTAGGAGCTGTTGGATTTGCAACAGGGGATGCTGGGTAAATTTGGGAACACATCATGTGGTAGACCCTGTGATATTCAGGGTAAAGCGTCTTTGGCAACTGTTTAAAGATGAGACCTGGGTCATCAGTGTGCTTTCGGAATGCATGCAACACAGAGACTCTATGGTTCAGGGCACACAGCACTGCGTCAGCTGCGCTAAGCCCCGCCCCCACTACCAGCACAGGGTCAGAGGAAGAGCCCAGTTTGCCGTGACAGCTGACAGCCACCCCAAGGTCACGCACACTGTGAAACACATAAGGGAGATCCTCCCCCTCTACTCCCAATCGTGCTGGAGAGTCAGATGCCCCAGTTGCTAAGACAACATTCTCTGCAAATAAGCTAAAAGGGACATGAGTGTCACCTTGGAACTGTTGGTAGCCCCTGACCTCCCAGAGTCCCTGTGAAAGCCCTTGGGACACCGCAGTAGTCTCTTTCATTCCTTCTTTGCCTCTTTTATCTTCATCTTCCTCCCCAATCTCTCCCCTTCTAATGCTATTCTCCATTCCAGTTTGTAACTCATTACTAAACCCATTTACCACTCCATTCTGACTGTTCTCTGTGCTGTTCTTATTGCAATAATCAAACCCATTTTTCACACCATTCAATTGACCATTTACAGTGTCCTTTTCATTCCCAATACTGTTTTCCTGACTGCGGTGAAGTTTTTGAACAGAGGTGACATAGGTATTGTCCACAAAGTTCTTCTGGAGACCCATGAGCTTGACATAATTTTTGTAGTAGGAGGAGATCTCATCTGGAGTGGCTCGATCATTGGACACCACCCTGTGAGAAAATCACACAGATATACAAAGGAACCCATCAATCTCAGAACCTACTAAAACATTAAAATAAATTAGACCATATTTCTGTTTGATAAGACCCGTAATATCTTCTTGATATCATTGAGAAATACTTATGCGGAGACGTACAATCTTGCTCCTGGAGGCCCACCTTCCTGCAGAGCTTAGCTTCAACCTGTTCCAACACACCTGCCTGGGAATTTCTAGTAATAGTGAAGACCTTGACAAGCGACAGTGCAGGTGTGTTTAATTAGGGTTGTAACTAAACTTTGCAGTAAGTTGGTTCTCCAGGAGTGGGACTTGACATCCCTGTACTAATGGAAGCTGCCTTAATCATGTATGCAGTTCTCCTCCATAGTGCATACTTCCGTTTGCCCGGAGTCAAATCTCTGTAGTTGACTCCTGGTAACTCCATCCATATACCAAGACTAATGGTCAGCATCGAACCTTCCATTGCCTAGGAGACCAGAAGGACAAAGTTTGTCAATGAAGAACATTTAGACAAAAATATCTATCCAGGTTTTCTTCACATTATGTAAGTTGTATTGGATAACTAGCATGACAAAACTCTAACCTAACCTAACAGTTAGGGAAGGTTATTTTTTCAATTAACCATTTTTTTCAGCTCGGACAGTTGTAAGTGAAAAGCATAAACCCTACTATTACAAAAGGATCACTCACGTGCCATGCACCGCCAGGTGTAGCTTTGCCCAAGACCAGATGAGGAATGTGATGTTTCTTCTCCAGCCTCCACTGCAGTACAGAGGGGAACTCAAAGCCCAAATCTGCATTTGGATGGAGAAGTGTGTCTAAGAGCACTGCCACAGGGTTTCCTGAACGCCCCTCTAACCCTTCGCAAAGATACTCCAAATCCTACAAGAAGACACACCGGGCAATAGGTTTATTGCACAGTTGACTGTAACATTTTTGATTGTTTTCATTGTTCACAATTTTCTAAGTTAAACTCCACAACCTGTTTCACCACTCATTTTTGTACCTGTTCAGTGATGGGAAGATGCTTGGCTTCCTGTAGTTTATGAAAGAGGATGGGGCTTGGGTGCACAGCCATGGGATCTAAATAAGGAGTATACCCATTCAGAAGGTATGACAAGCATATGCCGGAAGGGCCATTACCTGTGAAGGGGAGACGGGAGAGAAGGTAACTATGGAATGTTATATTTTTGTGCATCTTTTATTCTTTAAATATATAATATTATTATGAAATATTTCTTTACATCCATACTAAGAGCCATCACTATTGGTTGATGCTGTAAACACCCGTCTTTCATTATTGATGAATCTGATAATGTTTGCTCCTTGATGACTCACCAATGATGACTACTGGCACAGTTCGAGTACAGTCCCTCGGCACGGAACTTTCTTCCAGCAGAGGCATAGTGGTAGCCAGAATTAGAGCTGGCACTGATAAACACAAAAAAAGACATCTGTCAATCAACATCAAATGAATCCTGGATGCAACATCTTAGCATGTGACAGTAATGCCATATATGTGGATATTTGCTAAAACAGCCTTTGTATAGAAACCATTCCACTTTAAAATATTACCTTATGGTGTTGTGATGTTTGCATATTATTACTCGCACTGAATATCTGAAATTGATTAATGCACAACAAATACATGGTAACCAACTTGTGATAGCCTGTAAATTCTATTCTAAATCTTTTATCCTGTCTATTGTTGTTTTTGTTTTAAGCTTTAGAGTGATTGCTGATGCAATTTTAGAGTGCACACAAGTCTATTTTGATGTGTCGCATATTTACAAGCTATTTCTTTTCCACGTGAGAGCTTAAAATGTATGAAAGTGTTTTAACCATAGAACCAAATTTACAGCAATTTCTCCCCTCTTGTCATATCTTAAATATGCAAAAGGTTCTAATAACAAAAATGTCACCAACTATGTACGCAAAGATGGCCTTGCTCAAACACTACCCTGCTGTGCTAATGCTAGCATTAGCACTGCCACTGCTTCCTGACAAAAGCAAATCATAATCAGTTTTATGGAGTGAGGCAGTGTTATATGAGCACACTCATTGTCTCGACCTGACGGGTGTAAATCCCCCCTGATTACACCTCAGCTTGGCCTATAATCCATGCTGCCCACGTATATGTTTTTCAAAAAAGTGGGCTTGGCATGCTGACAGTCGGCACATCGCAGCCACCCGTCACAACCTGTTTTTCTTTTACCCTGGTTGTTAACTCTTTTCAGAGAGAGTGCGTGGGATTCCAGGCATAACCGGGTGTGAGAATGGCGGGACGGGGTGTGTAAGGGGCGGAGAGAAGCATTGGCAGGGTTTGGAACTGGCATTTCCACCCCACTGCCCCATTTAACAGTCTCCTGACCACATTTACAAGGGGTACTCACATGAGGCTGACCAGCCCCTTGTTTTTTCACACTCATTTGTCTCTGTTTTCAAAAAAGATTCAATCCTCATAACATGTATTGCACTGCTCTCTCTCGAATACTTGATTCTGACAGGTCAATCAAATAATTCAGAGTAAAATATTTCTGAATAATGAGTGCTGTCTAGGGAAAAACACCATAATTGACCGCTCATCCAGAAAACCAAATGTTTACTATAGCTGTGCTCATGTTCTGATCTTTTGGAGTATTTTTTTTTTTCTTTTTTCAGTTATAAATCCCTTTTATATTTAACAAAGCCAGTGCCAAGCCAATACCAATTTTGAATGTTCCAGTTGCATTAAACTGTTGATAATAACTAAAGTCAATAGAATTGGATGCTGCTGTTTTGTGAACAAACAGTTCTTTTTTTCATTGACATTAGACATTCAAATCTCCATATTCAAGTTGTTTAAATTCTTAAGACCTGGTATCTGGTATCATATGATGGGAAACCAAAACATCAGACATGGCAGGACACACTAATAAGCATCTTATAACTGAAAGTACATTAAAAGTGTGAAGAAAGTTCTACAGCTAGTGTCATGTCTGTGTGTGCCATCTAGACAGGCTATCAGTGAGTTTAAAGCTTAGACTGGAATCTGGATTGTGTGTGAGTATTGTACATGCGTACACGTGTCTCTGAAAGCAAGTGTGTATGCTGTTGTGTATACGCCCCTAAAATAGTAGATGCACACTGAAAAGACTGGCAAATAAGGCAATACCGTTTCAAACAATTTAATTTAGAACCGTTTGAACAGTTAGGACAACACTCATTTCAGATATTAACTAATGGAGTGATACTTTACATGTTACTTTCTCTGAATAAGTACATTATAAATAACGTCCTGTTAAAAAAATATATGCTACATAGCCTCTGTTTTTGTCTTCATGGCCTATCTATTCATACAATTCTGAGTACCAAACAGCTTCCTTTAGAGCACATTAACGGCACAGGAATGGGAGTTGTTTTAATCTTTCGTTGTAGAAACTTAATTTCAGCTAGAGATAAAATGACAACACTGACTAACTTTAAACAGCGAGTCTACGACTAAAATGCGTGTCAAAACATCAGAAGCGAATATGATGTTTGATATTATTCTGCATAATTGAGGTCACATTTCACATTTCAGTCGCAGACTACTGTTCGGAATGGTAATAAAGACGTTTCTATAGTGATTTTCTTACCTCCAAGCGAACGATCTTCAGAAGCGTTGTTTTTGTTTTTTTTGGATTCGCGTATCAGGGCTCGGGATGCTGCACGCGGTATAAATAGTCCGTATCCCTAGTGGGAGGTTCCAAGCCGAGTCATCGGATGACATGGACGAATGATTTTCTAAAGATGCTGCCGACTGTTTTCGCTAGGAAAGCGCCTGATAAGACGTATGATGATAGTGAACAATATTTTAAATAGCACGTCGTTGAGGCGTTACTCCAGAGTAGCAGCACGGAAAGCTGCCAGGCGTCAGTTATGGAGCGAATTATGTGCCAAAACCTCACACACACACAAAACGTGTTTTACTCACACCCAATGATTCACAAACAAACTCAATGTGGTTTGTAAATACAAAACATCACTCACAAACTAATGCATATTGTTCTGCAAATAAAAAACGTACCTATCAAACAAATACAGTATGTTTTACATATACATAGAAACGTATTTCTTCAATGACAAAAATATCATCCAAGTACAAACTAAAATCTTTCAAGTACAAAACAAAATTCTACAAGTACGAAACAAAATTCTACAAGTACGAAACAAAATTCTACAAGTACAAAACAAAAACCTTCAAGTACAAAGCAAAAACCTTCAAGTACAAAGCAAAATTCTACAAGTACAAAACAAAAACCTTCAAGTACAAAGCAAAAACCTTCAAGTACAAAGCAAAAACCTTCAAGTACAAAGCAAAATTCTACAAGTACAAAACAAAAACCTTCAAGTACAAAGCAAAATTCTACAAGTACAAAGCAAAATTCTACAAGTACAAAACAAAATTCTACAAGTACAAAACAAAATTCTACAAGTACAAAACAAAATTCTACAAGTCCAAAACAAAATTCTACAAGTACAAAACAAAATTCTACAAGTACGAAAAACGTCCACAAATGCAGTTGAGCAACTTCCTCTTCTAGAACAGTAGATGGCGCTAAGATAGGGGATCAATTTCGCGCTAGTCTCTCGGGAGAAACACTGATGGGAAACGCGTGCTTGCCTTTGCCCATGGGAAAATGAGCGGTGAACAGGTGTGTTTCTGTCTTACTTTATCTATAATTTACCTTATTGAGGTTTTGGTAAATGTTTATTATATAGCCTAGACAGAAATCCACATTAGCACTTAGTAGCACTCCACTCGGATAAGGGAATCTATAAACTGAAAGCTCTGCCATCATGTTGCTTTTTACATTTTTGTAAAAACGTTTCATTTACTGAATGAGTCTATTTCTTTCGTTCTCCATAAATTAATGAGAACATTTCATTTAATTGAAAGGGTCCCACTTATTCATTAATTTAGTTGGAATTCAGTCAGCGTAACTGTTAATGTAATAATGAATGAACAAAACAAACAATATATAATTGTTTCTTAACTTCCCTGTGACGTATTGCCCAAATTATTATTTTGGACAGACAAATGAAACCCTCCTTTCAATTAAATTAAATGTTCTCATTAATTTATGGAGAACGAAAGAAAATAGATTTGTTCAGTGTACATAATCACTAATTTAGTAATTTCACACGCGTCTTATGTAGATTTTTTTTTTTTTTAAGCAACATATGATAGAGCTTTCAGCTTAGATTCCCCTATCCTAGAGAGAGTGAAGTGCTACTAGCGGTAATATGGATTTTTGTCTAGATGTAATAAACATTTTGCAAAAGAAAACCTCAATAAGGTTAATTAGATAAAGTAAGTCAGAAACACACTTGTTCACCGCTCATTTTCCTCAGCTGTAGGCAGTGTTCTATTTCGTTACAGAATACATGCCCAAAAATGTAATTTGTAACGTATTCCGTTACATTACTCAATCTACAAACTATAAGGTAGCCTCTCTCACAGACATGTCTACTTTTAAACGAACAATTCAAAACGAAAGAAAAAAGACTACAGACTGCTCTCTGCTTATGTAATCCTGGCGCGTTCACTGCGAAGATCGCGAGTCAGCATCGTCAACTTCATGTTTTCAGCCGACACACTGACAAAGAATACACTTGTTTATTAATAAACAATTAAAATATCTCCTTGCTATATTTTACATATTCATAATCTTTTGCCGGTTCTTTGTGACAGCTTTAAGGTGCTTTATTGGCAGTGCCACCCTACATGGTAGGCTACACGCTGCACCACCGCACCCACCAGAATAGGCCTGTTTAGTAAGCAGGATAAGATTGCGGCATTCTTACATTTATAAAAGGCAATTCAATGCGGACGTAATCCCTCAGATTGAGTAATGTAAAGGAATACGTTACAAATTAAATTTTTGGGCATGTATTCTGTAACGAAATAGCCTATGTTTTCCCAACACTGCCTACAGCTGAGGAAAATGAGCGGTGGACAGGTGTGTTTCATGTCTTACTTTATCTAATTAACCTTATTGAGGTTTTCTTTTGCAAAATGTTTATTACATCTAGACAAAAATCCATATTACCGCTAGTAGCACTTCACTCTCTCTATAGGGGAATCTAAGCTGAAAGCTGTATCATTATGTTGCTTCAAAAAAAAAAAAAATCTACATAAGACGCGTGTGAAATTACTAAATTAGTGATTATGTACACTGAACAAATCTATTTCTTTCGTTCTCCATAAATTAATGAGAACATTTAATTTAATTGAAAGGAGGGTTTCATTTGTCTGTCCAAAATAATAATTTGGGCAATACGTCACAGGGAAGTTAAGAAACAATTGTATATTGTTTGTTTTGTTCATTCATTATTTTATTACATTAACAGTTACGCTGACTGAATTCCAACTAAATTAATGAATAAGTGGGACCCTTTCAATTAAATGAAATGTTCTCATTAATTTATGGAGAACAAAAGAAATAGACTCATTCAGTAAATGAAACGTTTTTGCAAAAATGTAAAAAGCAACATGATGGCAGAGCTTTCAGTTTATAGATTCCCTTATCCTAGAGTGGAGTGCTACTAAGTGCTAATGTGGATTTCTGTCTAGGCTATATAATAAACATTTACCAAAACCTCAATAAGGTAAATTATAGATAAAGTAAGACAGAAACACACCTGTTCACTGCTCATTTTCCCATGGGCAAAGGCAAGCACGCGTTTCACATCAGTGTTTCTCCCGAGAGACTAGCGCGAAATTGATCCCCTATCTTAGCGCCATCTACTGTTCTAAAAGAGGAAGTTGCTCAACTGCATTTGTGGACGTTTTTCGTACTTGTAGAATTTTGTTTTGTACTTGTAGAATTTTGTTTTGTACTTGTAGAATTTTGTTTTGTACTTGAAGGTTTTTGTTTTGTACTTGTAGAATTTTGTTTCGTACTTGTAGAATTTTGTTTTGTACTTGAAAGATTTTAGTTTGTACTTGGATGATATTTTTGTCATTGAAGAAATATGTTTCTATGTATATGTAAAACATACTGTATTTGTTTGATAGGTACGTTTTTTATTTGCAGAACAATATGCATTAGTTTGTGAGTGATGTTTTGTATTTACAAACCACATTGAGTTTGTTTGTGAATCATTGGGTGTGAGTAAAACACGTTTTGTGTGTGTGTGAGGTTTTGGCACATAATTCGCTCCATAGTCAGTCTCCATCCAGCATCTGCTCCTCGTGCCGCACCGGCAGGCATGTGCGAGCCAAGATACGCAGAGTCTGCCTCGTGCACATGGCAGTAATAACAGTACTTTTTCCCGTTAAACGGGAGGAATCTCAATCGATCATTACTCGATGCTTGCGTCATGTTTGTAAAAACATTACACCTTATCGCAGCCCATGTAAAAAAAAAAAAAAAGAAGAAGAAAAAAGTCAGTGTTTATTTAGCAAAAATGCCAATGTTTTTTTTATTATTCAATATCCTTTTTGCGTTTTATCTCAGTAAATGTGTGAGTATTGGTGGGTTTTTAATTCTAAAAACGACATTTGGGCTATTTTAATAAAATAGCTATAATTCTACTGAATACGTCATTATCTGTCATTGCGTCCCTGATAGCACAGGTACATCACAGAGACGTCTATTTGATGTGTGTGTGTTTACATCTGGAAGACGTATTTTTTTAGAGTGTTTGCTCATCTGCAATACGTCTTTAGGACGTTTCCTGTCCAGATGTCAAATAGATGTTCAGAAGATGTCTTTAAGATGTAATGATTTAGAAAGTATGTTAAACTGACATCTTAAAGATGTCTATCAGATGTTAGAAAACAGCAGATGCTTTCCAGATGAAGTGATCTTTAACAGACATCTTGCAGACGTACGTGTGCTATCTGGGGTGGTTTTAGTGCCCTCGCCGTTAGATTGCTTGCTAGATTGGTTCAAACACGTTGCTGCAATCATAAATGACTCTCATACGTAACAAAGCTGCTTATTAATTTAGGTCAGCTAGGAACTGCATTTCTGCTTCGATGAAACTATGGTAAACAGGTCCAGGACAGTTCGGCGGATCGTCAGAGATCGTTTCCTAAACTAATTTACATTAGCCTATGTTATGTAACCTCTCAGCCCTAATCAGTAAGGCTCAACCCTTTCTGGAACACCAACCAAAACGGTGTTGTTCCTATTAGACTGGATGTCATTAAAATGAGTCAATATAGCCTTAGTTAAAACAATATGTTGAAAAACAGACTCACTAAAGTATATTTTCACTGAGTAGGCTATATTCTGCTACGAGTGTCATCATCTATGGACTGTAAAAATGACATGCATTATTTTGTTGCCATCCATTTTCATTTATTAGTTTATTTCCATACGTTTAAAAGACAGGACATAGCCTATCATTGATATAGACAACTATTTTGTTTTTTATTAATATTTTTAATTAATTTATATATATATATATATATATATATATATATATATATATATATATATATATATATATATATATATATATATATCCTATATTTGGGTTGTAACGGTATACCGTATGGCGGTTTATCATGATATTGACATGTACGATTACCATAGTGAACATTTGCTTATCGGTTTTGGAAAAAAAATTGAACCAGATCTCACCTGCACACACACACACACACACACATATATGTCATTAAAATGTCATTAATATGTCATTAAAATATATGTCATTAAAATCTATATATTATACAGCAGGGCTTGACATTAACTTTCAGCAGGGCTTGACATTAACTTTTTTGCTCACCAGCCACTGTGGCTAGTGGTTTCTCAAAGTTATACCAGCC